TGCGTACACAACCCAATACAGTCTTTCTGCTTCCCTCGACATCACGCTTCATTTTTTTCTTTCGTTTTCTTTGTTTTCTTTGTTTTTAATATTGTTTTCAATGACAATTGTTAACTGATTATTACTTTTTCATTAGTCAATCGCACTTCTAAAGGTAACACAGAGGACAAAGAGGATAACAACATGTTGAAAATTTCTCAATTAACCAATTTAATCAGGTAAGTCTTGAATATATTTTCATTTTCACTTTTCTTCAATGTTTTTCTTTCATCACTCAAGGATTCCATCTTATCCTTAATTTTCCAATGACAATTAGTGTCTACTCTCTTGATTGGCTTATTTCCTAAGTTTTATCATTTTCAAGGTTAAAAGCATGAAGTCATGTAGCTAGATCAGATTTCTGGGCGAATTATGATCTTAAATATGATCAAATCTTCAAAGTCACAATTTTGCTCTTCTCTTTGTTTTCCTGTTTTAAAGACTATTAAACAAGTAAATCTCGAATTTTCGTTTGAATTATGATTTTATATCCTTGAATTCATAATTTTTTACTTGTTTAATTGTTCCTTGGAACCAATTTCAGGTGAAAACACACGTTCAGAGTCTAAGTTCTAACAGATTTGCAACTAAGGAAATAGATGCTATTAATGATAATCCATTGTTCTTTACCTTTCATTCTTTTGCTTTTGATTCATCTAATGTTTTGAAATTTTATTTATCCTCTCACAGACCTATCCATGGAGCTATTCCTAGGATTAACCCTTCTTCCATTGCAATTCAGCAGAGAAAATTGAATTGCATCTCCAGTATTGGTCTCGATAAATTGTCTTCAAAGGCAAGAAACTTTGTTGAGGAAAAGGCCAGAATATGTGAACCAGATAGCATTCACATATGCGATGGCACTGAAGAAGAAAACAATCAGCTTATCAATTTGATGGTCCAACAAGGAATGATCAAAAAGTTGCCAAAATATGAAAATTGGTGAGTTGCAAAACTTGAAGTTTATTTTGCTAAGATTGCGCCAATCCTGAAATTAATTTATAAAAACGTTGAAGCAATTAATGTTAATCGAAGCCTAAATATATAAAAGGTTGTTAAATGAAACTTTCCTTTCGAATATTTACTCACATTGGAAAAATTTAACAATCAATTTGGCTTAGATACAAAGCCAAGCTTACAGAATTTGTTTTCAATTGTATTTCTATTTCATTCAGTGTTGGAAACAATCAAATTCAATTATTATTAATCTGTTTGCCTTTTGTTTTTCCTTACAGTTGGCTGTCTAGAACTGATCCAGCTGATGTTGCTCGTGTAGAGTCTCTGACATTTATTTCAACCAGAAATAAACGTGATACTGTTCCAGAACCCAAACCTGGAGTAAAAGGAACTCTTGGTAAGTTTTAATTTTGACTGTTTGAAGTTTTTACTCACTAAAAGAACATTTCATCTAATCATTTGTTTATTTTTTCTTTCTTTGCCCTTGATTCAATAGGAAATTGGATGTCACCGGATGATTTAGACAAAGCTCTAAATTCACGGTTCCCTAAATGCATGAAGGGAAGAACAATGTATGTTATTCCCTTCAGCATGGGTCCGGTTGGCAGTCCACTTTCCAAGATTGGTATCGAATTAACTGATTCCCCATATGTCGCTGCTTCTATGAGGATTATGACGAGGATGGGAAAGCAGGTTCTTGATACTCTTGGAAATGAAGATTTCATTAAATGCTTACATTCCGTTGGCTGCCCATTACCTGCTTCCAGGACGTTGGTTAACAATTGGCCATGCAATCCGGAGAGGACGATCATTGCCCACAAGCCGGACTCCAATGAGATTGCCTCATTTGGTTCAGGTTGTATTACGACGTAAAAAGGAATCCCGTAACATGTTTGAACGTCTCAGGTTACGGAGGAAACTCGCTACTTGGAAAGAAGTGCTTTGCACTTCGTCTTGGATCTATTTTGGCGCAACGGGAAGGATGGTTGGCCGAGCACATGCTTATTCTTGGAATAACTTCTCCTTCTGGCGCTAAAAAATACATTGCAGCCGCTTTCCCGAGTGCATGTGGCAAAACGAATCTGGCCATGATGGAACCAACCCTTCCTGGATGGAAAGTTGAATGCGTTGGAGACGATATTGCATGGATGCGTTTCGATTCCAATGGGACTCTTAGAGCTATTAACCCAGAGTACGGCTTTTTTGGCGTTGCTCCTGGAACTAGCTCTAAGACCAATCCCAATGCGATGAAAACCATCCTATCCAATACAATTTTCACCAATGTCGGTGAAACGTCCGACGGTACGTTTTAAATTACTCTTTAATGGTTTTACCAAACACTCTATCGATCAGATTAAACACCAAATATGCCTTTTATTTTTCAGGAGGCGTCTATTGGGAAGGCCTAGATGATGTTGATGTAAGTAATTTAGGAGTAAAATCTTGGATGAATGAAGATTGGACTCCTGGGTGCGGAAAAAATGCCGCTCATCCCAATTCTCGTTTCTGTTCCCCTGCCTCTCAATGTCCTATCATGGATCCTAATTGGGAGAGTCCTGAGGGTGTGCCAATATCTGCAATTATTTTCGGAGGCCGAAGACCAGCTGGTGTACCATTGGTGTATGAAGCATTCAATGGGAGTCACGGGGTCTACATCGGAGCCTCAATGAGATCTGAAGCAACTGCTGCTGCTGAACACAAGAGCAAAGTGGTTATGTTTGATCCATTTGCCATGAGACCATTCTTTGGTTACAATTTCGGTCACTATTTGGATCATTGGTTAAGTTTTGGTGACAAAACTGGCCTAAACTTGCCAAAAATATTCCATGTTAATTGGTTCCGTAAAGGTAGTGATGGAAAATTCTTGTGGCCAGGTTTTGGAGAAAACTCAAGAGTTTTAGATTGGATCTGTCGTCGAGTTAATCAAGAAGATGTTGCTCAGGTATGAATAATTATATCTTTAAACGTTGAAGGTTCTTTAATTGTATATTTTTTTGTTGGTTTCAGAAAACACCAATCGGATTCATTCCAAAGCCAGGAACACTCAATTTAGATGGACTTACGGAAAAAATCAACATGGACGAATTATTTAGTCTTCCAAAAGACTTTTGGTTAAATGAATGTGATGAAGTTCAAAATTATTTTGAACAACAAGTAGGCTCTGATTTACCTAAGAAAGTCATGAAAGAATTAGACTCTCTTAGATCACGATTGCAATCAAATTAACTTAATCTCACTTTGTTAGCAAATTCAACTGATCACGTAAATGAATTTGCTACCCTCAAGACTGTGATCTAGCGAAAGGGACATTTATCAATATATTTTAAGAAAACACTTGCAATTAGTTTTATGACACATTTTCGTGGTTAAAATTTCATCTCAACAAAAAATTATCGATAACTATCAAAGATCAGTTATTGAACCAAAACAATTTTAAATAGTTTATTTTTAATGTGCTTGTTCGATTCTAAATTATTTAGACAAAAATTAATTCTTTCACGTATCCTTAAATTTATTTGTTCATCGTCTTGAAACTCAACGCTAACCCAATAACAACAATCACAACCTTCTCCTACAAATTAATTGATGTTATTAAAAAAGGTTGAAAAATATAGACTTTCCATATTCAATGGAATGGAATTCATTTGTGAAAGATTTGTCTTTTCATTTCCTAATAAAACGAAATGTCAATTCATTATCCCCTTAAATCACTGTTTCCCTTTATTCAATTTCCCATAATTCAACGCAAATATTTTAAATCAACTGAATCACTAAATATTTCTTTCATTGTGAATGAAAATATTTTGATAACAAAGAAGCTGAAATGTTTGAGATCCAAATGTAAAGTTGAACCAATATAAGCTTTCAGGCTTTACAAATAAAGACATATTTATAAAGGTCAGCAATTTGTCATCAACCATGAGAATCGGGTCAATCCTTTGTAAACCTCCTTCATTATCATCTGTATCATTGTTAGAAGTGTCCATTGATATAACCTTAGGGTTTTGAAAAACATGCAATTTCTCTCATTTCTTGGGCTTCTGTAAAAACTTACAAGTTAGAGCATCAATTAAACTGCCATTAGCTTTTACCAAACAAAATATTACTTCAGGCCATTTCGGGCCATCAAGTCAATCTATTCAACATTTTCGTACCTGAGAATAGCTTCTACTCTCAAGGTTAGAAGGGAAAGATGAATGCCATTATTAGTGCATCATGCACTAAGAAAACGAAATTATGGTTTATGTTGAAAGTGAAAATTGAGTCCACCAATGGAAGCCATTTTGGGTAACAAAGGGACCTTTAAAAATGACCCAGGTTGGCCTTTTAAGTAGATGATGCAATGATGGAAGGAATTGCGAGTTGAAATACATAGCTTTGTACCATAGCTTTGATCTGATTCCATAATCTCAAATCAGCTCGACATCATCCAAAACAAACAATTTCATTCGATCAGGAGTCGTTTTTCAATAAAGTCAATGATTCCATGGTGTATTATTACTCGGATCGTATGGATTGAAAAACATACTTAATTTTCATTATCTCCTTGCATCTATACACTTTGTACACACAAGTCATTCAAGTAAACGTTGAGATGTTTATACACTGAGGAAATTGTTGAACTTTTGAGACAGAAACATGGTATTGTTGATTAACTGAGTCGGTCCAATTTTTGGCTTGGTAACGATTGAAATTAAAATCACAAGAGTTGACAATTTATGAAAGGGTAAAAGAAACAAAAATTATTTCTCAGTGTGATACGCAGTTTAATTGGACATCTTTGCTAATTTGATAAAGGTGAATTTCCGTAAAGACAATTGGCAGATAAGACAAAAAACATTATCACAAGGTAAGAAGTGTAAACAATAAATATCAAGCATTGAATATAAGATGATGCAATTTTCCGTTTAATTCACAGTAAGGGCACAACAAAGAAAGTAAATCTTATGAACACGAGGTAAGTTAATGAATTATCTATTGATTAATGGTGCTAAATAGCCAAAATGGCGAAGTTGATGAGATAAAATTTTGATCATTATCAACATAAAACAGCTCAAATGGCATTATTCAAGCCAATAAAAACAATACAAACCACCGAGTTGATTTCCTTGTTTACTGTGGCAAAATTAAACCATCTCATTATATGTGTATATTATTGTGTGCATGGCTTTGTAATTTTTTTAAAACTAAATAATCCATGCAAGCTAACCATAATCCCACAAATTAACCCGACCATAAAATATTATCTTAATAGTCAGTCAATGTTTAACATGGGATTTTATATTAACCGTTTGGTAAATGTTTTTCATACATTGTAATGGCTTCCTGAGACTCACCAGGTGGCGTTTGTGACCAAAGGTTTTTTGTTTGTAGGTTTTGGCGCGCACTTTTTACGGGAAATTATTCTTGACTCCGTGTTACTTAAAAGTGCTCTCAGCTTGCATCATTGCCAATTTTTGACTAGACTTTGATCGAGACAGTCTTTTTTGTGCTTTCACTAATTTCTTATTATTTGTTAACCTACCCTGGTCACCACCATCATCATCATCAGTAAGTTGATCTTTTGCTTTGTGTTTATCGTGTCTGTAATAAAACCATTAAATTTAAAACGCCATCATTTCAATTAACAGTAAAATGATGGACCCAATTTACTTGAATTTTTCAATTTACTTTAGACCGCTTCCCATGCTAAGCACATGTATTAAGTGTGGGCTTTTGTGTGCTTCGTATTATAGCCTTTGTTTGCACTTTCTAACGACTTGTCTTTTTTCCTTTCTTTCTTGTGTTTTTTTTCTTTTTTAGTGAGTTTCATTGAAGATCAATTTAAAGGTCAGTTGCCATCATTGACTGAGGACAATATAAAAGTAATGAAGACTAACAAGGTTAATGAACCTGTTGAGGAGGAACCATTACTTCGAGAGAATCCTAATCGTTTTGTTGTGTTCCCTATTGAGTATCCTGATATTTGGGAAATGTATAAGAAAGCTGAAGCCTCGTTCTGGACTGTTGAAGAGGTTGACTTATCTCGAGATTTAACTGACTGGGCTAAGCTTAACGATGAAGAACGTCATTTTATCAGCTATGTGTTGGCATTCTTCTCTGCCTCAGACGGTATTGTAAATGAAAATTTAGCTGAAAGATTTATTCGTGATATCCAGATTACCGAAGCTCGATGTTTTTATGGTTTTCAAATTGCGATTGAGAATGTGCACTCTGAGATGTACAGCCTACTGATAGACACTTACATCAGTGATCCTGACCAGCGGGAGTTTCTTTTCAAAGCTATTGAAACTGTCCCATGTGTTGCTCAAAAGGCTGAATGGGCAATAAACTGGACTGCAAATCCATCAGTCTCTTTTGCCGAAAGATTGATTGCCTTTGCATGTGTTGAAGGTATCTTTTTCTCAGGCTCTTTCGCCGCTATCTTTTGGCTTAAAAAGCGTGGCCTGATGCCAGGTTTAACTTTCTCTAACGAACTTATCTCTCGAGATGAAGGATTACATTGTGATTTTGCCTGTTTGTTATTTAAATATGTTGTTAAAAGACCGAGTGAAAAAATTATTCAAGAAATAGTGCGAGATGCTGTGGAAATCGAGCAGAAATTTTTAACCGAGGCATTGCCAGTTTCTCTCATAGGAATGAACAACAAAATGATGGCCCAATACATTGAGTTTGTTGCAGACAGATTGCTGGTTGAATTAGAGTGCTCAAAGGTAAGTTAACGCATCCATTAACTCTTTCAGTCATTTATTAATTCTTTTTGTTTGCCGCTCCCATTTTGGCGGTAAAACCTTTGTTTGTCTTTTATAGATTTACCATGCTCGTAATCCATTTGATTTTATGGATCACATTTCTTTGGATGGTAAAACAAACTTTTTCGAGAAAAGGGTTGGTGAATATCAAAAAAGTAATGTGGCCAATGGAAACAAGGAAGATGCTAAGTTCGTCTTGGATGCTGACTTTTGAATGACCTCCACACTTGTAGTCATGACAGGCTCGCTTTAAATATTTCATTTATATAAAAGGAGCATCAACCCATAATTTTGATTCAAATTATCTTTCACTTTTTAACAACTTATTATCAGAATTGTAACAAATCAATTGATATTTTTAGATTCAGTTCATTTCACTTTACCTGTTGTTCAACTTCCCTTTACTTACTGTAATATTTATCTGACTAGGATATTTTCACTGTACAACATTTATTATTTTTAAACATTTTTAATTTGCGAAAAAACATTTAAAGATATTTCGATACAACTTGATTGACTGACTAAATTTTGCGGGATTATCCTGAAAGTCGCTCATGGCTCTGATTTTTGAAGTTGGAGTTTCATTTTGGTTGTAGATGACGTTTTGATCTCAAATATATATCCTTGTTAATTGAACAAAACTAGCAATTTATTGACGTTTTTACCGATCTGTTTACTAAATTAATTGCTAATCCGAATGTATCATAAGAGGCCCGATAAGAGTTCAAGTTGAATCTGAAGTGAAGTGAATATAATTAAAACAATTGTGTCTGTTTATTGGAACAGATTTTATTGAACAAATCAGCGGATCAACAGGTTATGAACGCGTGTTAAACTTGAGATATCAATGGAAAGGTAAACGGTTGATCGTCCAAAATGATTTTATGAATCAATTTTTGATAACTTGCATTAATTATTGGAAAAAGTAGTTAATTGGATTTATAAATTAGGTAAAATGAAAGTTAACCTTTAAAGCAAAGTGTTTCTAAAAAATAAAAAACGATTTACTTGCCAGCAGAAGTACAATATTAGAGCAGACAAAAAAATGGCAAACACCTCGAAGCTTCAAAAAATGTAGCTGCGAGGTTAAATGTGAAGGAGTTGGGAAATTTTATAACAAATTTTAACTATTTTTTCACCCATAATGAATGTAAGGTAAAAAATATTTCCGAGTATGATTGTGAATATAAAAATGACAGTTTGGGTCAAAGATGTTGATCTTTTCTTGCAGCGAAAACCACCTTTTAAACAAAATATGGTCCTTGGTCATCCTTGGATCAACCTTAATACAATAGTTGAATAAAGTATATAAAGCATGCAAATTGTCATCAAATTATCACATTAACTGTTCAACTTTCAATCAAACAACTTCACTTGTATTCCTATTGAATAACCAAAATCAAAGGTAAAACATCAAAATGAACTCTAAAATTATGTTCATCGCCATTATCCTTGCTGCTTCACTCATGATTGCTGAAGCAACAATCAAAATCCGAATCCACAAAAAGCCAATTAGTATTCCAATTCCAACTAAAATCTCATTGGGATTGATTGGTCATGATGATTGGTGGGGTCAATCTTGGGGTGGTTCATGGTCATCCTGGCCTTCATGGGGTTGGGGATGGCAAGATGATGCGTAAGTTAATTTATCCTGCAATTAATAATGTAACTCTTAACTAATAACTAATAATTTCTCGTCCTTTTCTTTCTCTGTTGATCTCACAGTTGGTGGTAATTGACCAATCCAAGGAATTCTACATTCAACTCATATTCATGATAAACTGTCAATATCTGCTCAATAATTTACAAACCACTTTTGTAATGATTAACATCAATTTACCTCATCATGTTATTTATAACATTATTCATTATCATGAGATACAAATAAAATGATTTGAAAAAAAATTACTAGAAATTTCTCGTTATTTCGATGATGATCTCGATTTCTCTTGCTGATCAATTGCATCAATTAGCAATCAACAAATATACAATTGTATCTTATGCAATTTTATTTACGTAGTTTCGTGAACTTGGGTAAAATGTATGTGATGTAATAGGTTAACATGATTTTCTATTAATATTTAAATTGTATTCCTTCAGAACCATTTTGAATCGGGTCTCATGCAAGTGAACATTTATCTTTATTTATTCCCCTAACATCGCGTTGACTTCTATCTCCTGTTGAACTGAACAATTGGTCATCTGGTGTAGAAACACTTGCTTTAGAGGTTTGCTCATTTAACGATTGTTGCAAGGCCCAGGCAAGGGCTTCATCTTCAGTCAAATTTCCTTGCACAGATTTTATTTTCGATGATGATCCTTGATTCACAGTATTATCTCTCCTGCTATTATTACTGCTTCTATTGCTATTGCTATTGGAGGAGGTCATTCGACGAAGTGCAGCTTCACCAGCCTTGGATAAACTCCATCCATTTCTATTCCCATTTCTGGTGTCAGTATTTCCTTTCTTAGAGGCACATTTATGGTCCAAAGGATGGCGATGTTTAAGGCAAAAATTATTTCTACAAATATCACAAGTAATAGGCACCAACTCTTTTTGCTTACACCTTTCAAAAGTACAACGATTTTTGTAGATTGTACTTCTTTTCTTCAAAGCTCGACCATCTTGACATTCATCTTCGATATGTTGATTAACTCTTAAATCGGGCGATTCACCTTTACGCAATGGAACGGGTTTATTGCACAAAGGACAAACGGGAACTTGATTATCTCTTTGGTGAGAATGTGCACATGAATGGTCTTCGTATTTATAATGATTTAAACAAAATACCTTGTTACAGGCATCACATACAACGGGCAAAAAGTCTAAAAATAAAAGTAAAACGAGATGAGACGAAATTAAGAAAACAGTTGATATTTAATGTGAATAAAAAAATCAAATCAACACTTACCAAGCTGTTTACAGCTCAAGTCAGAACAATGTTTGCCTAAATCAGGAAATTCCATAATTAAAAGTAGAAAACGTTTATAAATAATGTAATTGTGATTTACCGCTGGAAATATGAACAATGAATTCAAATTCAAATTAACACAGTAAAAATATCATTTGTTTATTGATTACTAAGTGAAGTGCACCGTCATTGATGGTTGCTACAACAAGGTGTCAACAACAGGTGAGAACATGTTCACATGAATGATTTTATATTTTTGGCGCTCAACATGAAAATCAATATAAAACAAGTCAACAGCCAGCTTTTAACTGTTTAATTAAATTGAAATTTTGTCTGAAATTATCAGATAATGTCACTGAAAAACGAGTCAATTGAATGTCGCATACGATTTCCAAGCAAGAAAACATAATATTTCATTACAGCTTGAGTTTGTTTCTTCTTCTTTGTTCTGGCAAGTTCTTGCCTCTTGTTGGTTTCTGAATTTTTTGTTTAGTCTCAGATGGTGTCTTTTTAATTATAGGCTTGAGTTCACTTTTAGGCGTTGATTCCGGTAGACTTTTATTTTTTTGAGTTTTGGTCAATTCATCGTCAAATTTTACCTTCTTCGGAGTCTTGTCTGAAAGTCCGGTGGACTCTCTAGTAGAGCTGACATTAGAGAGGACATCAGAAACTTTTTTTCTCTTATTTAGCTTCTTAGCTGGAGATGGAGTCAACTTAACTGGAGAAGTGCTAGATTTGCCCTTAATTTTCGAGGGCTTCGAGGATTTGATTGCATCTTTAGATTCGTCAGGATTTTCTGCCGGCTTTTTAGGAGATGGAGCTTTTTTGGGTGATGGGACTTTTTTGGGTGATGGGACTTTTTTGGGAGATTGAACTTTTGATTGCTCGTTCTTCGTAACGGGTGATGAAGCTTTTTTCTTTGGGGCCTTTTCAACCTTGACTTCATCTTGATCATTAGAAAGTTCCTTATCTTCCTTATCCTTATTCTTTCGTGGTTTCAAAGCCTTTTTGTCTTTATTTTTCTTCTTATTTTTATCAGTTTGGTTGGACTTTTTAACCCCTTTTCCAACCTTAAATTCAGAGATAGACAGCTTTTTCCAGTCAGGATAGTGAACTTTGAATTCTTGGAAAGCATTTTGAACGATTTTCTTGCTACATAGACGAGCCATTGCTCGTGTATTCACATCAGCTTGTCCCTAAAAAGAAAAAAATAATAAGTATCAATCTGAAATCACCAAATCATAATAGATATTTACTCTTTGTAAAATAGCTTGCAATTCAGCAATATCCGTGCGAAGACCAAATTTGATGATCTCAGTAGTTTGAAGTGCTTTAAGGCATCCTATTGTTCCTCTTGCAGATTTAATTTCTTTCTCAAATTTAGTTTGGATAATGTGATCCTTGCTGTTTAGAAAATAGATGATTAAAATATGATGGCGTGTTTATAAACTACATTGATATTTGTTGCTGGCAAAAACTAGAAACTCACCTCTCTTCCTTTTTGGCCAACAAATGTTTGATTCGTTTTTTAGTTGTAGCGAGTAAAGCTCTTTTAGCTGGTCTTATAGAGCTTCGAAGTTCAGAAATCTGGATTTAAAAAAACACCAAATAAGAAAACAATATATCATGTTGAAACCATGTTGAAACCATGTTTCAATATTTTGCAACATTTATAACTAACCTTCTTCATTTTCTGTTGCTTGTCCATATTCTTTGAGAATTGATATTAATATCAGTTGAAAAAAATAAAGAACGAAATAAATTAAATCAATAAACGAAAAAATAAAACTAGATAAGCGAAAAACGTGGGTTTGAGAAGTAAACACTTGTAAAGAGTTTTAAAGAGCTTTAAGCCATGTGGTTACTAGGGTAACTCTTGCTGCATGTTAATTTCCGAATGTATCGATTTCCGTTCAAATTGAATTTCGGTGCAAACTTTGTTTTTAAAATTAATAGATTAGCAGAATTCGATGATCTTCAAAGAGCAATGCGACAATATTCAAAGCTAGTAAAAATACACACGGCTTGATCTATTTACCAGAGTACAAAGGCCTATTAATTTATATTTGCCTATTTCTTATTTTGATAACCCTATCAAATGAGTTTAAATAATTGATATAAAGAAATAAAGAATTAGGCATTTTCATCGGGCGAATTTTTTAAATACAAATAATTGCAAATTAAATTGATAAAATGTGCTAAAAACTGCAGAAAGTATCAAGTTGAAAAAATCAGGATTTATGCTGAGCATAACAGTTGTTATAGTGTATGCTTTTTATGCTTTCTTGCTTTAGCAGAAAAGTCTTCGTGTACAACGTGTGAAGAGATAAATAGCATACTGTGTATATATTGATTGTTTTAATTAATTTTGCTTCATTCTTTTCTTTTTCTGGGATCACTAATTATTAACAATGTCTAATGTTAAGGAAGGCGAAGACAAAGATGAAAACAAAGAAAATACTGTAACATTTGAAGGTAAGTAAATTATTCATCTTCAATTTGAATATGTGTCAGTTTTGAAAATTTCAATATTTTGAATTATATTTACTATCAATTATTTTTTGGTCTTTTTTACATGCTATATTGTGTACATTGCAGTCTTACAATTAATCAAGGAAGCTCAAAGTCAACATGGTTTGAAGCATGGTGATTATCATCGGTACAGAGGTTACTGTTCTAGGAGATTGAGACGCCTTCGTAAATCTCTTGGTATCATTCAATCATCTGGTACTCGGCATCGGTCTACATTTGCCATGAAAAAAATTACCAATGATATGGTTGTTGGTTCTTTGAAGGCTAAAAAAGATCCTATTCGATATCTGTACATTCCATTGATGAGTGCAGAAAGATGTTGGAGCTATGCTATGGCATTGAAACAAGAGGCCAACACAGAACCAAGAAAACGGTTCCATTTAATCAGAAAATTGAGAAAAGCAGTTATATATGGACAAGAATTGGAAAAACTAACTAATCAAGAGCCTAACTTCTGTGATGCCAAAACCAAACTTGAAACTCAAGCTTACAGTGCATACCTCAGTGGATTGTATTACTTTGAAACAGAACAATGGGCTAAAGCTTCAGAATATTTGAAAAAAGCTCAAGCCATTTATGTTAAACTTTGCGGTGTTGTTGTTGATGATGAAACCTCGGTTTGGTATCAACAAAAAGTGGACGAGCTCAAGCCTACTCTTCGATATTGTGCCTTTAATATTGGGGAACAAGGAATTAAAGCTCAAGATTTTATTGATACTCTCAAATTGGAGTCAAATGATATTGAGGATGAGCTTCTTTCATCTAAGCTCGATCAATTGATATTGCAAACACGTGAAAGACAATCAGCTACGCTTAGCGAGGTCACTTGGTTGGGTAAAACTTTCGCTATTAAACAGGAAAAGATTCGATCATTCCTCATTACTTATCAAGAATATAATTCAGTTGACTTCAAAACGATGAATAAATTGGAAAAATTATTGTTTGAATGCCGTGATTGTATACAATTGTTGCGGGATGCAAATCAGGACAAAACACCTCTTCATTGTTATCTTCTTTATCTTAGACTGGACTTAACCCATCGTAGGAATCTCTTTCTTATCAATAACATTGACAATCCATCCGACCTTATACGACCTTATGAAGTTCTTTTGGGTACCTTAAATGATATGAAAACTTTGCCTCTTCGTCAATATTTCAACTCAGAGGATGACATTGAAGAATTATTAAATGAAATTAATAATCGATCGATTGCATTCAAAGCACTTCGTTGTTATTCAATTGCTAAAGTAGGAAAAATTGATTGGAAACAAGCGATTGCTCTTCTTAACAAATCATCGCAATATTGCTCAGAATATCTTGAGTCAGATCATAAGGACGAGGTAATTGTTATTTACTTATCCCTTTATGTTGTCAAATTTTTAATTTTTTATCAACATTAATTTTATTTTACCCACAGGCTTTGAAACAACAAATCAAAGAACTTCAGGCTAAAGCAAACAGTGAAAAGTTCAATATCTATGCCAATAGTTTAATCAAAGATACAGAGGCGGTAAAAGTTGACAAAAACCAGAAAGTAAAGGTAATTCTGATTTGCATTTTCATTCACATGCAAACCCATTATAAAAGTTCAAAATTAATTTATAAATCATTTTTCTTTCTTTTAGACGCCTGTAATCGAAAGATTAGATACTTATTTACCAGAAACTGAAGTAACTTCTGGTTATATAATAATGGCCCACTTCCCTCCCCAATTTCGACCTATTCCAAATAAACCATTGTTTTTTGACATTGCCCACAATCACCTTAAATTTCCTTCTCTCGAAACGGAAATTGCCAATCAAAAATCAAGCGGTTTAACTGGTCTGGTCAAAGGATGGTTATGGAGAAAATAAAATTGAAAATAATCTAATGATTAAACAAATCCATTTGTCTAAGATTATCTATGAATTTAATTTTTAATATATGCTATGAAATGTAACCTAATGAAGTAATTATAAAACCTTTAAAATTCTGATACAAAAATACTCTTTGTGCCTGGGAAAAGTAATTTAAAGTTACTGGGTGGCTGATGAATATTAACTTCCTAATTTTTGTTTATCAATAGAAATGAAATTCAAATAGTCAATGCATGGGAATAAGTATTCTTCTTCAAGGAGTACTCTACAGACAATTAAAATGCAGCTGAATTAATATTTGCTGACTTATTTAACCTACATTTAAATTTATTTTAAATAAAACAATCGCTTGGTTCTTTTATTAATAAAAGTGATATGCAGTAAAAAACTGTGAAATGTACAAAAATATGCAAAATTCCTAAGCTTTTTTGACAACAACGTTTGTTTAACGTTTTAAATCAATGCAGTCCAAAGTCTTTTAATTAGGAACAAAATGCAATGCAAAAATTGTGATCTTTTTTATCAAATGAACATTCTGTTTTTATATTCGTGAAAATAGTGAGAATAGTAGGAATAGCTTTTTTGCCAGTCAAGAAGTCTTTGTTTTCTTTTGGTATTTATGTGAGTTTTTGCCGTTTGCAACTTCTGTCATCTTTAATTTTCTTCTGGTTGTCATTTGATTCAAATAAACTATTTTAAATAAGCTATTTTAAATCAACAATCTTAATTTCTATTATCTATTTCTCGTGGTGAAAGTTTCATGTTTTAAGAATTTCCAGTAATTTTTTTGCAACATGGATCAATTGATAAACCCAATAGTTTTGAAAGAACTCGCCTGCAGTTGGATTAAAGAAGACTGTCCAAATTTTGACTTTCATCCAATCATAAATGGAACACGCACTGGTATTTTCAATATTTTCTGTAAAGCTCAAGCTATTCTAGCTGGCAAACCTTTTATTCAAGCAATCTGTGATCAACTAAACCTGAATATTGAATGGCTTGTCGAGGAAGGTGATATAGTCAATGGATTTCAAGACCATGGAGTAAAAGTCGCCTCTTTAACGGGTCAAATCAGTAATCTACTGCTGGCTGAAAGAGTCATCTTAAATGTTCTGTCTCGATGTTCAGGTGTCGCGACGCAAGCCAATCGTATCAAGGAAATTATTCAATCAATTGATGATAAAGTTGTTCTTGCTGGAACCCGCAAAACTACTCCTGGTTTTCGGCTGGTTGAAAAGTATGGACTGTTAGTGTCTGGTGCTCTGACACATCGATATGATTTGAGTTCTATGGTTATGATAAAAGATAACCATTTAGATATTGTTGGTGAAGCATTGCCTGATTATATTGAATCAGTTCGGCGTTACTGTGGATTTTCTAGCAAAATAGAAGTTGAATGTCGAAATTTCGAAGAGGTTAAAAAAGTTGCACCCCTCGGAGTAGACATAATCATGTTGGACAATTTTGAGCCAGACGCAGTTAGACAATCAGCTAACTGGATCAAAAACAACTATCCCGCCATTTTGGTTGAAGTTTCTGGAGGTATAGATGAAGACAATCTAGAGGATTATGTTTGTCCTACAATAGACGTTATCTCTATGGGCACATTAGTTCAAGGATACTCAACTATTGATTTTTCAATGAAATTTGAAAAATTCAAGAATTCATAGAAAGAAAAATTTCCGCACAACGAAGATGTGTGATGCACAGACGATGACTTAAACGCTGGATTGAGCTAAAAACTAAACATACATTATTCAAAAAATTTAATCCAGGTACTTCAAGAATAACCTAAGCATCGGCAACTAGATAACAATATGAGATTCTGGTTCTAATCAATAAAATTTTATGAATTATCGGAACAAGGTGTTAAAAGGTCACATTATTGTTATCAATCAAAATTTGAAGACATGAAGAAATGAAAAATTGACCAGATCAAGAAGTAATGGCGAAAGAAACAAGGCGAAGAAATGATCAAAGAAATTCAATCTTGAAACCAGAAGGGTTATCAATTTATCTATTATAGCTACTGATCATAATTAATGTAATTTTTGCTGTGGAAATTCAATCAAGAGTTATCAAGGAGTACTCTACATACAATTAAAATGCAGCTGAATAAATATTTGCTGACTTATTTAACCTAGATTTAAATTTATTTTAAATAAAACAATCGCTTGGTTCTTTTATTAATAAAAGTGATATGCAGTAAAAAACTGTGAAATGTACAAAAATATGCAAAATTCCTAAGCTTTTTTGATAACAACGTTTTGTTTAACGTTTTAAATCAATGCAGTCCAAAGTCTTTTAGTTAGGAACAAAATGCAATGCAAAAATTGTGAGAGGTGCTTGCTTATAGAGTGAAATAAGTCTTCAAAACATGATTAATAAATAAAATGCAAGTGAAATAGGTATCAACAGAATGGTCGGAATCATAGAGGACGAAGAGTTGCACCAATGTTCAAGCTGGCAGAAACAATAAGTAGTATTGGTCCAATGTTTTCTGTGTTGAAGAAAAAAGTAAAAATTGAATAAAATTGACTTGTAACAAGAAAACTGTTTCAAGAAAAAATTAGTCTTACCTCTGGAGATCAAATTGTATAACGCTATTCTCAACGTAGTTGGCTAATTTTTTTTGTGGAGCTGCCGGACGACATCCTTCAAAAGTATCACCAGGTATATTAGTCTTGATTCCGATTAAATTGGATAGACAATCTCTGGTTATGAGAGCTTCTCCTGAAAAAAAAAACATATGGTAAATTAATGGCTTCAAAAAATGTCAACAAAACCCTTACAAGTTTTTAATCTATAGAAGCAGCTAAATTTTATCCACCTTGAAATAATAAAGTAGTTATTTGAGATGGATAAGCTTCATGATTCAGGGCAATTGTGATTGATCAAGTAACATACCGTCTCTTCTTTCAATGACTTTAACACACATGTCATCATCCTTTGGACAAGTTATTGAGGAGTGTAACCACCAATCAACGCCATCATCTCCACATCCAGGTTGAGTGCTTACACAACTGTAACACCAAATGCTACAAGTTACTGAAAAACCAATGAGAAAAAAAGATAAATAACTTCTTAATGTTCCAATAGGCTGCACCAACCATTAAAGTTGTGAGCTATTCTATCAAGAGATTAGTGTATAGAGGGATTTTTATGTTACTCCTTACCTGTTGGAATAGATGCAATGGTTATTATACAACCGATGAAAGCTATATGAGATATCATCATTAATTGAGTTTACTAAACTTGATGGTATGTTCATTAAAGCCTCATCAAGATTAACAATTAATTTAGATTGTTGATGATAGCTGTAACAAGAATAACGATACAAGTTGATATAACAACAAATAAAGAGGGAGTTGGCTTGAAAGTTTTACTTTTTTCCCTAGGCGTGACTCACTTGTCAGGTAAAGCAATTTTATAAGACATTTCTCCAACCTGGTTTCATGGCAACAGGTCTCCAAAAACACATGACCCTACGACAAACCAAATCGTAGCCAAATAATCAGATTTCAACCCTTGGTTAAAAGATTAAATGAGTTGTATCAATTAACAGTGTCCCTAACAATTCAATGAGCCGATTCGGTTCAATATTCAACTAGCCTGAAGTTCAACCGACAGCTATTTTTCAGACTCGGCTTTTCAGTTTTAGAAGTTTTATTTTTTAACAACAATTTAATCATTAATACTGAGTAATATTTACCTGTATAATAATAGCTAACCAGAATCAGAGATTAAATCAGTCTTGATAAAATGCGATAATTTTGTTTTGTTTTTAGTTGAATTCAGTTGACAATATTTCAAGGAAGGGGATATCCGTTAATAGCGAAGATGGTACCCTACTCGTAGTTAGCTGCTAATCATGTCAAATTCAGGGTTTAAGGTATTTCCTTTCTTCTTCGTCTTTGACAGGATATTTCTTGAATAAAATGAATAAAATACAATCATCTGAACATCCATTTGATTCTCAACCATTGAACGGTTCGATTGAAGCAACTCTTTATCCAGAAAGATGGCCAACTTACATTCAAAAATTAGTTTACTTCTTCTTTTCTCAATCTTCTTTGGTGAGTATTCAGCCATAATAGATACAATTGATATTTTTCATTTAAAATTCAATTCCTTAGATAAAACCTGTAACCCCATGTCTTTGTTTCTATCTATCTTTTTAAAATCATTACAGTAATCATTAATTGTGAAAGTGAAAAGAAACCTGAAGACAAGTTAAATGTACCTCAAGAAAATAAAGATTTCAATTCTTTTGCCGGTAAACCTTACTCCTACATGGAGCCCAATTTTTTTGAAAAAATTGGTCTCCATTTAGCTAAAGGTTGGCATGGATTTAGAGGACTTTTTGGTCGACGATCAAACAGACGAAATGAAAACAATTACAAAAATGGCGCCTATGAAGGAAAGGAAGAGTTTCAACAGCCTTTTGAAAAAGAGTCAACAACAAATAAAGAGTACCCCGAGTTTGGTAACAACAATTTTGGTAATGCTAATGGTAATGGTAATGGTTACTCTGGAGAAAGCCAGGGCCAAGAACAGGGCCAATTATTTCAAGGTAAATATTCAATTTAATCGTTGTCCTCTCACATTGGTTATCGGTTGTACATCTTCTTGCATGTTGTCGATTCTCCAATGATTAAAATTACATCTAGCATATATGGCATCTTGTTTAGCAATTTTTATCTTTCTTATTTGTTATTTTCTTATTTATTCAATAAGGTAATCAAAAAGGAAACCGAGAAGAAGTAGGTTTTGTTGACGAAAGAATAAAGGAAAATTCTGAGAAAGGGCCGAAGGACGATAAAAAGTTTGGATATGAAGATATATCTGGTAATCCTGGTAAAACTGCTGAAATCAAGAATGGTGAAAACAAGAAGTTAGATGAGCGTAAACCATTCAAACCAGAAAATGACAATTACGAGGCTGTATTTGGCAAGCAAAACGTACCAAATGGAAAACAAAGAAAAATCAGAGCTGCTTTCAGAGGACCTCGCCTTCCAATTCGAGGACCTTTCCGGCAACCTTTCCGCCAACCTTTCCGAGGACCCTTCCGAGGACCCTTCCGAGGACCCTTCAGAAGGCCTGGCAACAGATTCCGAGGATAGAGGATAGTTTGGACGTTTATTTTTTCAAGTTAATGATGAGCAAAATCTTGGTTGAAACAATTTCTTGTTGATCAAGTTCTTACTGTACTCATAGACATTTACCTTGATCGGAACTATTTTTTCAAATAAATTCTTACTACTAATTTGCAGATTTACTTCTATTTTATTTCTTCGGTACTTGATTATCCTCCATTTATTATCAATGATTCAAATTCATTGAGTTGTGAACTAAATTCAATTTTGGTCAGTACAAAAGTTAATTAATGAAATTTCACTAACTCATTTTCATGACGCTATTTATACAAGTATGTTGATATGACTAGGGGAAATTAATTTATCTGATATCATCAAATTAGTTAATTTAATGTTTGTCTTTGCAAATTTTGAGAAAAAATTCAATATATAAATTTGTATAAAGCGCTCATTTTTATTTGACAGATAGCTTCACTTTACTCCCTAAAAGTGACTCTCTTCACTCTTTTTCTGGGTTGATAGATGTATTGTTTTACTGTGTTTAATTTTAATTAAACATCAACTATGCATCTAATTGAATCAATTAAGCACTACATCAACTTGATGGTGCAAGAAACTGGAGTTGGTATGAAATGTCTTCTCATGGACAAAGAAACAGTAAGTTTGAATAGTCAGATATTTGTGATCCGTAAATCTAACATCTTGTTTACTTTTCAGACTTCCATTGTGAGTATGGCTTACAGTCAAACTGAAATGTTGGATAAAGAAGTTTATCTGTTTGAACGGATTGATCGAATCAGCTCATGTGATCATATGAAATACCTTAAATGTATAGTCTTCCTTAGGCCAACCAAAGAAAATATCGATCTTCTCATACAAGAATTGCGGAACCCAAAGTTTGGACAGTATCACATATGTTAGTATGTTTTTTGTTTATTTTGTATTGAGGCTTTACTTTTACTGACAATGTCAATGTTAAATGAATTTAGGGCAAAGCAATATATATTGTCAGCTGATTTGGTCAATAAAGGACCATTTTATCTAGGTTTTGATCTGATACTCAAACGTTTACAAGCTAAGCCTTGTCGGTTTTATTTTTAATTTGCTTCCCGTTTTAACTCTTCCTCCAATTTTTTATATTTTACAGATTTTAGTAACATAATTTCTAATTCCGATATCATGACTTTAGCTGAGTCTGATGAACATGAATCAGTTCGTGATGTACAAGAATTTTATTCTGATTTCATTGCTGTCAGTCCTACTTTATTCAGTGTTAATGTGACTAATGGAAGTTTCAGGGGAAACAAGTGGAACCCATCAGCTTTGCAGAGATCATTAGATGGGATAATAGGTGTTTTATTATCATTGCAAAAATATCCGAATATTAGATATCAAGCATCATCAGATGCGTGTCGGAAACTTGCTGATGAAGTTAATCATTTAATCAATAAAGAACATTCATTATTCGCTAATTGTTCTCAAAATTGGCCCAATGATTCTCCTGCACCACTTTTGTTAGTTCTCGATCGTAAGATCGACGCTTTTACTCCATTATTGAATCAGGTAATTATATTTTGTTGAAAATTAACTTACAACAATTGACTATTTACTCATTTATGTTTTATTCACTTCTCGATATCTTATAGTGGACCTACCAAGCAATGCTTCATGAACTGCTGACAATAAACAACAACCGTATCAATCTTTCCAATATTCAAGGCATTAGTAAAGATATGCGAGAGGTAGTTGTTTCAGCTGAACAAGATGACTTTTATTCCAAAGTAAGTCATGATTGAACCAAAGTTTATAATATTCAATGATTTATTAATTTTGTGATTTTCTTCCTCAGAACATGTACAAAAATTTTGGTGAAATTGGTATAAATATAAAAATTTTAATGGAAGATTTCCAAGATAAAACAAAAAGCCAAAAAAAGGTCGAAACCATATCCGATATGAAAGATTTTATTGAACAATATCCACAGTTCAAGAAAATGTCTGGTACAGTCTCAAAACATGTTCTTCTCATAAGTGAACTATCCCGATTAGTTGCGGCACATAACTTAATGGATGTTTCGGAAGCTGAACAAGAAATGGCATGCCAATCTGAACATTCCAAATCTTTAAAAGTAATTTATTTAAAATTAATTGCGATAAAAATGTATTAATTTGTTTTGTTTTTCAACTAACAGAAAGTTCGTCAACTTTTGGAAGACAGCAGAGTACAGAATATTGATAAGCTTCGTTTGGTCATGTTATATGCTCTTCGATTCGAGAATAATTCCAACCAAGAAATAGCTGAGTTAAAAAAAATACTTAAATCAAAAGGCATACCAGAAGAACAGATTAAGGTAAAACATGATAATATGAAAATTTCGGCGCTTTATTTACGAATTTTTTTTTCTCTTTCAGTCTATTCAAAGTTTACTTAACTACGCTGGCTTCAAAAGTCAGAATCAAACTCAAACAGATCTACTTTCAACTGTAAATGAAGTATTCAAAAAACGTATAATCAAAGGTTTAAAAGGTATCGAAAATATTTATACTCAACATACACCAATATTGCGGGAAATTATTGAAGATTTAGCACGTGGTAGACTTAAAGTCAACAATTTTCCCTATCTAACTGAAGATCGATCGCAAGGAACCGAGAAACCTACTGATATTATTATCTTCATGGTTGGTGGTACAACTTATGAAGAAGCTTTGCATGTTGACGCACTTAATCGGTCACTTCCAGGAGTTCGAATTATTCTTGGAAGTACATGTATACATAACTTAGCATCCTTCTTAGATGAACTTAGCTACACAAGCTCAAGGACTGGCTTTTGAGCTCTTTTTTCATCATCTATTTATTGTATCAACTATCTTTTAAAGCGAATATTGTGGTTAAATAACATTGTTCAATCATCTCGTTGATTCTAAGTCATTATGAAGTGAAGAAGATTGGTGTCTTTTCTCAATGGACCTTTAATTAAATTTTTGGCTCTTCGTTTTGTGATTTTTTTGTCTTAATTTTGTTTTAATTGTTATATTCTTTTATTAAAATTGCTGGATCGTGTAAAAATAATTGTATTGTGATAAATGAAAAGTTGTAGACATAAAGGTTGATATTCCATTTTGGATGCATAGATACAGAGTTGCTCTTGAGCTATAAATCAGTTTCATCATGAAGATTATTGGATAGCCAAATTGTGGTTCCTCATTATTATGAAGTTGCACTTGACTTTGTCTGAATATCATTTTCAAGGTTAATCGATTTGATTACTCTGTAATAAATAAAATGTACAGAGAAAATTTGTGATTGCGCAGTTAAAGGTCCAACTAAATAAGCTTGCATCTTTGACGCTTCTTTTGTTTACTTTCTTCAAATGTCCTATTCCGACTTCCTTCTCTTCTCTTCATTTAATTTGATTTTTCGTTTTAATTAACTGTTTGTGCTTAATATTATTTTATTGATTTTGATTTTGCTTGACACCATCCATCCTGAATATCAATATTAGTGTCATCAATCCCATCAACATCTGTACTTGCTTCCAAACCATAGAGCCTTTCCATTCCTAATTTTTTGTTATCTTTTGCCATGGCTGTAATTAATTTTACTGAAGGTATTTTTAAACCCTTTATCCGTTTTTTTGTTTCCCTAACCCACGGTTTATTTCCTTTTATCTCCTCTTCCCCAGACGACATAATAAAACGTAAATTGCTCATCGATGGAGATGGACTAGGAGATGATCGTCGTATTAATCTTATGCTTAAAACCTTTTTCAAATGGTGCAGTACTCATGAAAATGACGAAGAACAGTAAGTATAACAGGCTTATTATTTAACCAATTATTTATCATAGAGATCCAATTCTGACCTATATATTTAACTTTTAGGGCCCTTAACTATGAGAGGATACTTTTAATGTTGACTAATTGCGAACATTCAATGGCCAAATCACAGCAAATACTTTCCATGAATCATTTGGAGATGAAAAATTACCAAGAACTCTACAATAAGATTGATACAGGAATAGCTGATTCTCAGAGGAAAATTGCTGAATTGAAAGCTGAACTACAACAAGCAAAGATTGTGAGAAAAAATAAACAAGAGTATGATGTCTTGGCGCAAATAATTATGGACAATCCGGATCGTTGTGATACTCTAAGTCGATTAAACCAATTAGAGGAAGAGATTAATAAACTACAGCAAATCAAAGAAAATCTCAACAAAAGATTGGAAAAGCGCGGTAAACAATTCCAAGTTTTATTAACATCAGCCCATGAGCTCAAGAAAATGCTCTCAGATGAAGACAATAATATTGTCAACAGTATAGATGACCAATTTTTGGACAATCTCAAAAGAAGTGATAAACCAGCTCACGTATAATGTTTAAAACCACCCAAAACTTGTGACCAGCAAGAATATTGTTCATTAATAACTAAATACTTGATGCTACAATCTTCGACATTCTAAACATAATAACGTGTGCAACGTGTGCTTTAAAAATCCTTTTATTTTTCAACACTTATTAACCTACATTAATCCTCGAATTTAATTTGAGATGTTAAGATGAACCAAACTCGACAAATTAAACTCTGTATTTAGCAACATGGCTAGACATCGAAATGAGTCGGATTAATACAATTTGGACTAGCATAAAAAATAGAAACAATTGATTAAAAATTTGTTTAAAATACTGTTCAAACGTCCAATCTACAATGTAAAAGCAATATTATAATATACTGTTACGTCGAGTCAGAAAGATTCAAAGGAAAAGGACGACATTTCTTTCATTCATTTTAACACCTGAATTGTCTGTAAAAAAGCTCCTAGCGGTTATTAAAGTTCATAGCAGTAATCTACACTCTAATTATCGTTTCATCTCATAGTTCAACAGCATAACAACGATTCCTTTCTAAAGCGCCAACTCAATCAACAGATTATGATTGAATCAATTATTCATTATAAATTTTACCAATAATTCTTCATCTTGTCTCCTTTTGAACAAAACCATTCTTGTCATAAACTCGTGTTCAAAATTCGATAAAGTTGGTTATATTAATTTGAAACAATCATTTCGATGAAAACTATAAATTACGTGTAAATCATATATATTATAGATTATAGATAACAATTTACAGAGAAAATGAATATTTACAATGCATTGCATTTCATTTGGCAGCTTGATTGAACAAAAAAATTCAGCCGCGAATTACATTATAATATCAATACCAGAATACAAATAATAAGAAAATCAATAGAATTTTCACTGAAAATGTTTTTTATGACAATCTTGTCCATTTGATTGGTTATTTCAAGGTTCTTGGTGATGTACCAATTAATGGTATAAATGAAACATGATTATGATGGTGAGGAGTTGATATTCTGCTATGATGTCCGTAAATATTTTGATGAGATGAATTATCTCCCATAACACTCGCACTATTATCCATTGATCCAGGAGCTTGAAGAGCCGATGAGTGAGTGAAAGGTGCGTTTGGATTGGGATGATGAGGTAATACATGGTTAGCGTGGTTAAATTTGATTGCTGAGAGGCCAGACATAGCGAAATTCTCATTCGGATTAATTGATCCAATCTCGGGAAAAATGTTAAAACTAAAGTTTGGCAAAAATGTAGATGAATGACCCACTGGTGGTAAACTATGGCTTGATGGACCAGATGATCGAGTGGAAGATGTTTGCATGTTATTCGCAGAATTGGATTGTGGTTGAGGTCTAAATAAAGATTCACCTCCATCTATAGATCTTTCAGATGAAGACACGTTCAACGCGGATGCGGTCGAAGAGGAAGATGGAGTAACAACAGATCGATGATTAACCATTGAAGAGGAGGATGGTGGAGGTACGAAACTAGGCATTGATGGATACGAGTTTACTACAGGAGGATTATTGATACTTAATCGTGTATCATTGTTTGAAGATTGGCCTCTACTTTTGGCAGCATTAGCAGTAGAACCTTTCTTGGTTGATTTACTTGAGCCTCCAACTGATTTCCCTGATTGTTTAGAATTTGTTGGTGGTGTGCTGGCAGTAGCGTTATTAGGTGTTTTTGATGATCCAGATGATCCGCCATTATTCACTGATTTACTTGATGCTAAAGCAATGAGATAAGAAATATTTGAGAATAATGCAAAATAAATTTGATAACAATTATTTGAAAAATACCTGAATATGGCGATAACTCAGACTGACGACGAGAATTATGCATGGGTGGTGTGCTCGTGTCACCGTAGAAGACAGAATGGTGAGAATGGTGATGAGAGTGAAGATTTGAGTTGGAAATGGTGTTAGTAGAGCCTGAGATATTGACAGTAGTATTGACATTGGATGATGGTCTCGGAGGACAGGTAAGATTGTAACCATTATTATCATAGTTTGAATTGGTTGAGCTGGAAATGAGACTAGGAAATGAGGAACTGGTTGAGAATATCGGGGGATTATTTGAATTAGGGAGGGCTGATGAGACAACATGATGATTATGCATCATGAAATAATTGTTATTTGAATTGTTTGCTGTAGATGATGTATGGTCAACAAAATGTCCTGAATTACCAATACGTCTGTTAGTATCAAAATTGACTACGGATGATGCGTTAGAGCTTGGTGTATTAGCTGGTCTACTGTATGGGTCGGATGAAAAAGAAGTGCTTGAATTGAGAGGATCAGAAAACGGGAATGGAGCTAGCATGGCAGTTGATGAACTGCCTGATCGGCGATTATTAGTTGCATTGAAAGAAGGTTGACAATTGTTATTAGGAGGTGCAAAAGGTGGAATGAAATTGTTTTGTGAGTTGCCCTCGATAAAACCATCATTCTGATGATTTCCGTTGTTGGCGAAAGTAGCATGATTGTCATTCCTGTCACCTGATGAAGACCCATCATTTGGCATCGGGCCATATGGATACGGATGATTGAAAATTTCTCGACCATTATTCGTGCTATTATTGTTAGCAGTAGTATTACTATTACTATTGCTACCATTATTAGCATTGGTTGTAGAACTGTCACTAGTAGAAGTTGTTTTCATACTTATTTGCCCTTGTGAACTCGAATTTGCCTGTGTTTGACTTCGAGATGATTGAGGAGGTGGAGGTTGTTGGTGATGATGCAGATGATTCTCTCTAAATGAGCAAGAATGAAAAATATAAAAACCATCATTAATATAAAAATCTAATAATTATTGTGAAAAGACTTACGGATAGACATCGCGTTGCTGGTGCATAATTTGCTGCTGAGATTGGCTTGTTGGATTAGAGTTTCGAGAAGATTGATGTTGATCTTGGTTAGTTCGCTGGTCCTGAGTTTGCGGAGATGTTCTGTACACATTACTCGGATGTTGTTGCTGTTGTGCATGATGTTGATGATGATTTGATTGTATACGAGATAAATTAGAATCCATATCGGTGCTTCCCCGAGCAGTTCTTATGATTGAATACTGTTCATTGTAGATATTCGCAGAGTTATTAGATTGATTATTATTAGGCATGGATGAAACTTTATTTGCCTCATGAGATTTGTGCCTGCTAGATTGATTAGCAGAAACTGTTGTATCTATTGGTGGTGAGTGGATTAATCTTTCAGCAGAATATGAAATGGTCGGCCGAGAATTTGAACTAACATTGTTTGATGATGCTGAAGCAGTTCCACGATTGGAGAAATCAATATTTGGATCTACATTGGAATGAACATGATAAATTGAATTAATTGGCCCTGAGGTAGGCATAGTAGTGCTTTGTTGCTGAGGCTGCTGTCTCAGAAGAGATTCAGCTGAATAAGGTAAAAAGTTACGCTCTTGGCTGGTGCCTGAATTGTTGCCTGAAGAAGATGATGCATTTACATTTGATGATAATGAAGTTGTAGTGGTAACCGTTGGTACTGTTGAAGATGAAGTAGATGCTTCTGAAGATTTTCTCAAACCGATTTCTGTTAGAGAATTCGTTGATTTATTTGTCTCAGAACGTCTATTTTCTTGCGAATCTGTAGTATAAAGTCTTGATTGTCCTGAATCAGCGCCATCATCGTTAGATCCATGAGCTGAAGACTCTATCGGTTCTCTTTCATTTATCATAAGGTGATGATGATGATGGTGGTGGTGGTTAATTGAATTAGAATAATTTTCATCAACACACATTGAAACATCACTATCTTTTCCTTGCATTTCAGGTTCCATATTTTTATTGCTTGACTCTAAATTACCTTCAAACATAGGGTCCTTGTCGTTTTGTCCCATGAGATGATGAGGCTCACTTATCAAGTTTGTACCTTGATTTGACATGATTACAGAAGGAGTTTGAGAAGTCGGTGCACTCGTATTAAGTCGATTTATTGAACTAGAGTAACGGGGTGAGCGAGCAGTACTATTATGATCTGTAGTTTTCGATAGGAAATCGGTAAGATGGTCAGGCGGTGATAAACTTAGGAAAGTTGGTAAACTAGAATTAGAAACACTATGAACTGATTCAGTTGACATTTCATGGTCATCCGATAAACTACTCAAAAGAAGAGGTAATTGATCTTGGTCACAAGCTGTTTCATTATTGTCACTGTTTTGACGGAAAGAATAGTCAATTCTATCTTCAGTTTCGAGATCATTGCTAGTTAAATCGTTACAAGGAATCAATTTTTTACTTGTATTGTCAGTAGTTAGCGTTTCATCAAATTCTTTTGCAGACCCTTTACTTGAATTAACATTTTTGTTAGCTTGTTTGTCAGCGGTACAGCTTTTAACAGGCGAATCAGCAACTCTTTCAATTACAGTAGTTGGTCGAGGTCTTTTCTCTTTGATTACAGAGGCTGAATCACTTTGCAAATTCACTTCACTGATTGTTAACTTATCAGATGTTTCCTTAGATTTACGAGAAACTCTTCCAATTCTAGGCCTTTTCCTAGACTTTACAGCAGGCGTTGATGTTTCATTTTGTTGTTCATTAGTAGATTGATCATTTTCTACTAACACTTCACTGATAGGAACTTGTTTAGAATTAGCTTTCTGATATGTTCGAGATCTTTTAGGCCTAGTTTGAGTTACTTTTGTCTCAGGTGTCACAATCATAGAGTTTGCTTCGGGTTCGTTGTTTACTGTCACTCGCGTTTTCTTTTTTCCTTTCTCTGCTTGTTCTGTTGGTTTAACTGGAACATTAATGGAGTTGTTGATGGGAGTTGACGAAGTTAGTACAAAACCAGCACCAGGAGTATAGACGAAAGCTGGTTGAGGTTGATTAACTAAAGATATTAATTGACCATTGCTCATCAACAAAGTTGTTGGTTGAGGTGGACTCAATAAGGTCGATCCTAATATAATTGGACCTTGATTAAAACCAGAACTATCAATGGCTAAAGCACCATTACCCAGAATTTGTACATTAGGTGAAGGACGGATTTTGAGTTGAGATCCATTAGACAAACTTATTCTTGGTGCATTTTGGTCTAGATTTTGATTGACAACTAGAAGCGGAGTTTTTTGGAAGAGAGAATTTATGTTCATTCTTTCAGTTACAGGTGCGTTTTGTGTCGAGTCTTGAATACCATTTTTATTGAATTGATCTGCATTATCATCATCTCTGATAACCTCTGTTGTATCAGATGCAGCATCAGAATTATCATCAGCGGAATTAGTGGATGGATTAACTTTGTCTAAATTAATTTTATCTTGTTTAAGTTTGGCATTTTTAGGGGTAAGAGGTTTCATAGCATCCAATGGGATATTATTGGGTGTTATACCAGACATCTTTAGTATTTTGTAATATACAGCGTTAGTTTCCTCTAATTTAGTTATTTTTTTCCTCGCAAACCGTAGTTCTTCCCCTGAAAGAAAAAGAGGCAGGATTATTAATCAAAGAATTTTGCATTACGTGGATTCAAAAAAACCTAGAAATTGCAGTTCATCATGAATTTTGCAAGCAAGTTTTTCGATGATTTCAGATAGTCTTGCGTTTTTGATGCAGTGAAAGAAGCATTTCGGATCTCGTTTATGCTTTTAGCTCCAATATTCAAATACTCTATCAAACTATCTCAGAATTAAATGCTACAAGAATCTTAATAAAATAACATTTCATCATATCAGCAGTCGAAACATTCGGCAGTATAAATACAAACATCTACTTTCTTGTAACCATAAATTGCAGCACGGATTGAAGATTTTGTATTATTCAAAATATTACCTGTGATTTGATCTGCATTCCCATATATAAGTTTGTCATTCATTTCTTTAAGATGAACCATGTAATGATATGCTTTCTCCAAGATACCATTCTTGCTTTCTTTCTTAGGATCTTTAGGTAATAGCTCATAAATTTTGTTTATCCAGATAGCTATTTTATCCTTCCTTTTCTTCTCAATATTATTGTGACTTTTACGGGCATATTCAGCTCGGAAAGACCTTCTAGATGCAAAATTTAAAGAAAGAAAGAAAGACCATCATTAGCTTACATTGATAATAAGATTTATTAAATAAATTACAGTGATGATAGCAATCAACAGCAATTTTAACAAGGTAGAATCCTGCAATCAAGCAGAAAGAAGGTCGGGAAAAAGAAATTACTCAATACATACTTTGGCTCATTTTCTTCTTCCTTATCTCCATTGTTGACCTTTTTGTTGCCATCATTAAGTTCTGATGAAGTCATTTAAATTTTATATATTACACAAGTCTCAGAAATTACTTGATTAAAAAAACACGGAAATAGGTAAGAAATGTTTACATTTGTCAACAATACATTTGTATATTGTAGGTTTCATTCAAAAAAATAAGGTAAATAATCATAGCGCGAGATTCAAATGAGTAAATCTCAAAGAGTAAACTACCTTACTCTTTGCTTCCTACTCTTCTCTTCATTTAATTTGATTTTTCGTTTTAATTAACTGTTTGTGCTTAATATTATTTTATTGATTTTGATTTTGCTCGACACCATCCATCCTGAACATCAATATTAGTGTCATCAATTCCATCAACATCTGTACTTGCTTCCAAACCATAGAGCCTTTCCATTCCTAATTTTTTGTTATCTTTTGCCATGGCTGTAATTAATTTTACTGAAGGTATTTTTAAACCCTTTATCTGTTTTTTTGTTTCCCTAACCCACGGTTTTTTTTTTATCTCCTCTTCCCCAGACGACATAATAAAACGTAAATTGCTCATCGATGGAGATGGACTAGGAGATGATCGTCGTATTAATCTTATGCTTAAAACCTTTTTCAAATGGTGCAGTACTCATGAAAATGACGAAGAACAGTAAGTATAACAGGCTTATTATTTAACCAATTGTTTACCATAGAGATCCAATGTTAACCTATATATTTCACTTTTAGGGCCCTTAACTATGAGAGGATACTTTTAATGTTGACTAATTGCGAACATTCAATGGCCAAATCACAGCAAATACTTTCCATGAATCATTTGGAGATGAAAAATTACCAAGAACTCTACAATAAGATTGATACAGGAATAGCTGATTCTCAGAGGAAAATTGCTGAATTGAAAGCTGAACTACAGCAAGCAAAGATTGTGAGAAAAAATAAACAAGAGTATGATGTCTTGGCGCAAATAATTATGGACAATCCGGATCGTTGTGATACTCTAAGTCGATTAAACCAATTAGAGGAAGAGATTAATAAACTACAGCAAATCAAAGAAAATCTCAACAAAAGATTGGAAAAGCGCGGTAAACAATTCCAAGTTTTATTAACATCAGCCCATGAGCTCAAGAAAATGCTCTCAGATGAAGACAATAATATTGTCAACAGTATAGATGACCAATTTTTGGACAATCTCAAAAGAAGTGATAAACCAGCTCACGTATAATGTTTAAAACCATCACCCAAAAACTTGTGACCAGCAAGAATATTGTTCATTAATAACCAAATACTTGATGCTACAATCTTCGACATTCTAAACATAATAACGTGTGCAACGCGTGCTTTAAAAATCCTTTTATTTTTCAACACTTATTAACCTACATTAATCCTCGAATTTAATTCAAGATGTTAAGATGAACCAAACTCGACAGATTAAAGTTTTTTAGCGGTAATCTACACTCTAACTATCTTGTCATCTCATAGTTCAACAACATAACGATTTAAATTTAACTCTGTATTTAGCAACATGGTTAGACATCGAAATGAATCGGATTAATACAATTTGGACTAGCATAAAAAATAGAAACAAATGATGAAAAATTTGTTTAAAATACTGTTCAAACGTCCAACCTAGAAGCAATATTATAATATACTGTTACGTCGAGTCAGAAAGATTCAAAGGAAAAGGACGACTTTTCTTTCATTCATTTTAACACCTGAATTGTCTGTAAAAAAGCTCCTTTACTTGTTCGCAATTTTAACTTTAACTACCGATATAAATTTTTATCGATTCGTCACTATCTTGTAAAACGATACTATCGAACAACTCATCTCGATATTTGCTTTAACTAATCCGGTTCCGAGCCGGATTATAAACCGAGGTTTAATTCAAGGATTTCACCTTTTTTGTTGGCGTATATTCATTAGAATTTAAAAATATTGATTTCTGTGATTATTAAATTCCTAATAAACTATTCATAATATTAAATTTGTATTTATTTCTCTTGATTTCAACCGATTAAAGGAAAAGATATAGAAACCGAACTGTAAACCTCAATAATCGAATCTCGATGTCATCGGATACAACTCAAATCCAATTGGAAACTGGGTTGAGAATTATTAAGTTGATTTAATTATTTGGTGCAATTTATTTCAATGGAAGTCAATAATTCATCAACCATTTCGTTTTTATTCTTTTTTTATGATTGATTAGATTGTGCATCTGGTTTTCTGATTGAAATGTTTCTACCTTTTACCTAACTGTTTACCTGCTTCATTTGCTTCCTTCATTATTTTTTATTTTGTTTTTCTCCAAGAGCTTCAGTCAAATTAACTAAATGAGTTCCTCTAACGATACTGACATCAATCAGATGGCTGTTAAAGTGAAGGAAATCCTTCCACAAGTGCCTTTAAAAACTATTGAAACTGATTTAAGGGTTACAACTGATATTGATGAAACTATTGCTCGACTTTTGGATGGTGTACTCTCTTTCCAACCTGAGGCAGTAGCCATCTTATCTTCACCAGCTGCTGGTGTAACTTCAACATCATCAAATGATTCCAATAAACGGAGTGACGATGAAGTAATTACCTCTAACGGAGTTCCAGCTTCTTTTAATACTGCTGCCAAAAATTTCGGAAAATCACCAATTGAAAGGATGCAATCATATAAAGAAAGAAAGAAAGCTTTAATTGAAGCTGCTAGGGAAAGATATATAAAGAAACATGGACTTAAATTGTCCTAATTTTTTTGAGAATTTGATCCAACGGATTGAAGTTGGTTTAAATTTATTGTGAAATGGTTTAACTAAATTTTAATGTCGTAGATGTACAGTTACACCACTAATTCCAGTATTTTTTATCAATTTTGTTGTCAAACAATGCTGCAGGACATCATAAGTCAACGGAAAGAGAGGATAATCAATGAACAGAGAACTTGAAGAATAAAAGAAAATAAAAATTTGTTAATCAATCAATTCTGATTTTCATTTCACTTTATTGAACCTATGTCAAACAAACCAATTGTAAACTAAAATAATCGACTGAATTGTAACTCAGAAGGAAAATTGAAACAAAATTGGATCATGAGATTAAAACTTTGGTACAAGTAACCCGTGTATTCTTGATTTAATAAAAATCCAACCTCATCCCAAACCTCTAATTCAGTTAATTTAAGTCACGTTGAGAGATTTGAAATGATTTGTTTTCATTTTTGGACTAGATCAAACTAATCGTATGAAAAAAGGGAAATACAGAAACTTGAATTGGTGAAATAACTTGAAAACAAATCACGTTGATGTAAATAGGTATGTGATCGGATTTATTGTATTGACTTGTAATATGGATAATATAGCAATAATGACTATAATAACAATATCAATCAAATGTCTAAATAGAAATTAAATCAGATCATGAAAATTATTTCTCTGAGTCGATTTATTAGAAAGAGTTAGAGTAAGAAAGAGGAATCGAGATGTTGGTGGTTGCATGAAAAGCATTTCTCATGGTTAGCAGTTAAATTCAGATTAAAACGTGATTGTATTCATCTCCTATTACCAATATGGCGACAAGAAAGATTCAATATTGAACAGATAATGAAAATAATGATGACAAATCGAGTTAGCAAAAGCACGTGAAAAAAGGCATTAGCAAGATGTGCGCAAGAAATAAAACGTGCCTTTTATAAACATACTTTATCCAACCACGGTGACCCCTTGAAATTGTTTTTCATTTTATCCCCTGTAAGAGGGAAATGGTCAACTCTAGCTCTCTCTGTGTTCACTGACTTTGCTCACTGTTTTCACAAATTCATTCTGAACCAATTATCTTACTTGAGTGCATTTCTGTGATGAAAAAAGAAACTTTCCTGGATCCTTTCTTTCCTATTAAGTGTGTGTCGCTCACCTGCTGTTCAACCGTTCGCTTCATTTGTTATTTTGTTCAACTTTCGTTTCCTCTCAATGCTACCCAAAATAGCTTAGTTAATTAAAAAATTGAATTTTCTATTATCATTGATAATATCATTGATAAGTTAACAATAGCTGATCATCTGATGCCCTATCACCTTTATTGGTCACTGTCCCCTCTTTACTGGTGTTTACCCCTTACAGACATACAATTGTCTTCTCCCTCAGTTTGAGAGATTTATTTTTGAAATTTTGTTCCTCAAAATTATTTCAAAATTCCAGTCAATAATTCAACTTCAACGAATGAAATCAATTCGTTTACCCAAGGGTTCTCTATGGAGTACCTGTTAATTAATCGTTCAAGCCTTCAGGCTTTGTGCTCTTCAATTGGTTGGAAAAGTGAAAATGGCCATTATGAGATTAGCTCGGATTGTCTGGCTACTCTTATCTCGATTGAGAATCAATTGTTAAATGAAAATTTAACAACTCGAAACATTCGCCTAAGTCTTGGACTTTCGCGAATTATTGAACGAGATTTACTCCATATTGTGGAACAAACTGAAATAATTGCTGATCCGATAATCATACAGACCACTGTAAGACTTTTGGTCAATTTAACTCTACCCGCTGAAATATTGTTACCTGGCGCTTACAATCAACCCAACAGTCAATTAAATGATTTGAGATGTTCTAGCCATTCGTTGATTACAAGAATTAAACAACTCCAGAAGATGTTATTAGATGCTAAAAAGGCTTTCATTTCTTCAAACCGAGTAACCGCTTCATTGATACATACCATGAGATTTGCTTCGTTAACTTCATCGTCCAATTTCAAAGCGACGAGCCATTCGAATCAAAGCTTGCCCTGTTTTCATTCTGGTAAATTTGCTTCCTCTTCTTCCATCCAAAAAAATCTATCTGGAAAAATTGATTCAAGTGAGACTAAATTGGACAATACTGAACGAAATTTGATCCGTGATTGTCTTCTACTCTTTCGTAATCTTCTCCATGTTCCTGATAAGATTGTACCTCATATTTTCGAATCGGATCCAGAGTCGAAAAGTGAAGAAACAAATGTGGATAAAGAAGGGAATAGTAATGGTCGAGTTACAAGCGAAGGATTTTCAAAAGATGACTGGCAAGATACTCAAAGGCGACTTATTTGGAGTCTAATGGTTCAAGGTTTGGACAATACTTTGTTATTCTTGATGTCCACTCCATACCGAAGGAATTGGATCTGTCAAATTGCCCAGTTGATTACGATTCTCTATAGGAACCAACCAGATTCCAAGTTAATACAATGTATTTCAACTAAAAATTCAGCCTCTGACTGTTCTGAAGATGACGTTGAAAGTGATCACACATTATCAGCTCAGCGATCATCTTCAAATTCCATATTGTCTGACTCTTCATCGTCAAAAGAAGGTGGAGCTGAATCATCCGAGTCTGGAAAAGATTCAGGATATTATCAACAAACGGATGGTTCCAACGAGGAAAGTATGGAAACCAATGGGTCCAAAACAGTCGACGCAAACCGGGTTAATAATATGGAAACGAAAAACGCTTCTAATAGTGAATGGAGAAAAAACATGAAAAGGAAAGACTCCGGGTCTGATAATATTTCCATGGAGAATGGAGAAACATTTGTTGCGGTTAAAAATCATAAAGATTCCAATGAAAATGAGGCAGCTCTTTCACCTTCAAATGATGCAAAATCAGATACTCAAGAATATGAGAGAATAGAAGAAGACATTATTGGTAACCAGACTTCTGGTTTTTCTGGTTCATCCGAAGAAGATACTCGATGTATGCATAAAGTGATGAAGCCTCATCAATCGTCAACTGTTAAGCCTACAGAATCTGACGACTCGGATGATTCCGATTATGAGGGAGTTAAGGCCGTTCGAAGTCACCATCATCCTCCAAATGTCACTCGAAAGACTAAAAATTGTTCCTCCGCTCCGCGTCCACCTAATTGTTGTCCATCAATCTGCATGGAAACTGCTATTGCAGCTGCTTTATCGTCAATCTCGGTATCTTCTGAACCAATATCAAAGAATTATCAATCAAACCCATCTAATAGTTCACTACCAACATCACAATCAAATAAATCAAAAGATCGACCTAATTATTATTCAAACAAGAAAACCAAAACAACATCTTCCCCTAATCAAACTGTAAATTCCTCTCCAATCAACCCAAACTCAGTTAAAACTGAATCTTCAATCAAACCGATTGCTCCATGGGATAAGAAGAAAACCTGTGGATCAAAATCAACTCCAATTGGTAACGATTCGATCGCTCCAAGTGATAATGACATTTGTTCGCTTCTCAAAGAGTTTACTCTTAAATTTGTCCATAATTTTTTCTCCTGTCTTATTGTTGATCTTTCCAAGGAGCTTCTCCTGTCTTACTCATCAACATCGAACTCATCTTCACCATCTGCCCCATTCTCATCATCTCTTGATATCTCTCACCTTTTATGGTTACTCAGTTATTTCCTCAAAATATCTTCATCCATTGATCTCAACTACAACCATATATCACCCATTTTGCAAATAGACATGTTTGCATTCCTAGTCTATAATGGGTTAATTATTAACGAGGAACTGGAACTACTCTCAACCAGGGCCATCGGAGGTTCCCCTTCAACCATACCACCATCAACATCTCATGCACATTTATCATCATCGTCACCAGATTTAACTATGAATTCACCTTCATCCAAAGAAACAGGAGTCAATGTTAATTTTATAAATGGCCAGTTACTTCAAGATGACAATATTAAGAAATTAACCCGAAAACTTCAATTATTAATGTCTGCTTTAAAAGAAATGATCATGACTATTTCAGGCTACATAAGTAAATCCTCAGCTGGAGAAGAGGAAAGGCAATCACTTTATAATTTAAGATCGTCTCTTGCCAAAATGACTGGTTTGAGACAATTTTTCCTGTTGCTTACTCGCTGCTACTCGCCAATCATTCATCCTAAATCATTTCTTGTTGATTCAATCATTACTCACCACCACTTGCTGCTTCTTCTCGATGAACCTTACCAGCGAGGAAATTTGAATCTCGTTGAACACCTTTCACAATTTGCCACAATTAAAGTAATGGAACAATATGGCCGAGTATTGGAATCCTTTCAATCCAATAGTGAAATGGTCAACAATTGTGTTTTTACAATTATGCACCATGTTGCTGGTGATTTAAGAAACCCAGAATGTCTCTTTCAACCAATCATTTTGAAAACCTTTTCTCTTATAATGGAATCTGATATGGAACTTTTAGATTCTTGGGAAGATTTAATGGAATATGTAATGAATCGTTTCGTAAAGGCAGCAACCAAATCAAATGCCAACAAATCAAACAAATTGATTGGTGCCTCTTCTGGTGTTGGTCGTTCAACAGATAATTCAGTTGTTGACCAAATGCCAATGAATTGCTCTGTAGCATCATCATCTGGCTTTTTATTAACAACTGAATCGTCAGATAATCAAATAATCTGTGAAGATGAAAACATAATCGGAAAAATACGAGATGATTCAGGATCGATTGCCACTTCAACTCATCAGACTAACCATGCAACCATTTGCAGTTCAGTTAAATCTTGTGTATCTGATGAAGATTCATCCATTGATTTAACCAATTTGGATAATAATCACGATCAATTATACTGGCTATATCTTCAATATGAACAAACAAATGATCCAATAACTTGCATTTTAGAGGTTATAATGGAAGAACAAGGCATTAATCTAGATCGAGCTGAATTAATTTCACAATTAATGATAAGAAGAATCATATCCTCTGAAGAATATGATCGATTCATGGAATACTCTTACGGTATGGAAACAAGCAAAAAGCCAGAAATAGTATTATTAATAAATTGTGATGATAATGAAGAGACCAATGATCAAATTGAAGATATTGAAAAAGACTATCATATCCAGGATCATAAAGATTCATCCTCATATCAAAAGATTGATTCATTTTCTTCAGATTTAAACCAATGTGGACTTATTAAAACAGAGATAAATCTGCATCACGAGGAAACAAATTTTATGAATATTGACCAGGACTCAAACATGTTGGATGAAACGGCTCGAGAAGTTGCAGAAATTGACCGGTTAATAGAAAAACTGATTAAAATGGGTTTTGCTGATCAACTTTCTTGGATTGGATCAATTCTGTTGGACATTGTAAACGTTAAAATGTGCGAAGTTAAGGGGGTTAAACAAGATTGTCGAATACTTGAGCCAGTTGCCTATTTCAGCAATAGTAAGTATTGAATGGATTGATTGGTCATCATTTTACTAATGAGTTATCTATTTCTAGTGCTTGGACAACCAGTTCCAATCGTTCCTTTCAATGAGAAACAAGAATTGGCTTTAAACTCTAAACCAATGATTGAACTATTACACCGAATTGGATTCCATTCACCGAGTGATGTTTCAAAATTATACCCAAGAATTCCTATAATATTTACTCCTGATATAATATTTAAAATTGCCTGTAAAATATCATCACCAGAAACAAAAAATTTACTCTTTAAGCCTGAAGAAATATTGGAAACTGGAAATTTGTAACAAGGGAAAATGTTGCTTCAAGAGCAACTGTAAATACATATTATGAATCAAAAACACAATCAAATCAAACTCAGTGAGAACTCGTTATTATAATTAATACAAATACGAAGGTAAATTGGCAAACACTTACAAATCCTATGCCGTTAAGGACCTGATATTTCTCACTTTCAATTCACAATCATATCCAAACGCAGAATATGATTCAATTTTATGTCTGACAGCTAATTTATTTCAAAATGATGTTGATTTAAATTTAGTTTATTGATTACACATTTTATCTTATAATTTAGCAATTGTATGTATTGCTACTAATACTAATGTTATTTTAACCTTTTATGTTGCCATAAAATTGTACTTGAGACTGATGAGATTTTGGATTAGCCTTTTTTTGGATAAATAAAGAATCCATTTTTGTTTTCATTTGATTGAAGCAAAATCTGAATGTTAATATCAATGTTAATAGTTAATCATAAGTTTATTTCAATTGTTAACATTTTAATGAATATTTTACTATTTATTTTGTTTCTTTTTTTAATTTAATCCCTGTTAACCCTTGAATTGTTATCCACTGGAAATAAACTTATCATTTTACCTTTTCATTGTTATTCGATATTCAACCAATTTTACCCTTTTTTAACCAACAATTTAGCATACATCCGAGGTAACAACCATCAGATTAATTTAACCTTCCGGGAATCAAAGTAAACCTTGATCTTGAGTGGAAGTTTTGTCTATCATTTTGATTAAAACCATAGTTGATCATAACTGATCATTTGAAGCTACATTTGCATTATAACCTTGCTCCAATTGTTTCATTGTTACTTGAACAAATCCATTGATTTACCAATGTAAACGCAATTTTTAATTGCAATTCATAAGGTTAACTCATCCATAGGCCATCATAATTAGTAATGTAATTAGGAACATTGGATTACTATCTGTGAATATAAAGGAATACATTTTCTTGCGTAGAAACACAATTTAAATTTTAATTGATGTACATAAGCGATGCTCTTTTATAAATCACATCATTTAATGTAATTGAAAATAGTGTCTAGTGATTAGTTAATTTTAACTGTTAACCAGAATGGATTATACTTTACAATTTATTCTAGTTTTGTTCACTTTGAGTTGTTTATCAGCTTCATCTATAACAATTGGTAACAGTTCAGAATCAACAGTCTCTTTCAATGCTGCTTTTTTCCCATTCAAACAGTTACCTTTTCCCATTGAAAGATTAACAGAGGAACCATCCAAAGTTGAACAATTGGAAAAGTTAATTTTTGAAGTTAAATCTTTTTTCAACCGTTCATCTGATAATGAATCAAAACGCAACTCGGCTAGTCTTCACTATGAGACAGATTCATATGTTTACGATATTCTGAAGCGTATGTTGGATGTTATTTCATTTCAAGAAGTAAGTTTTTTAAGTTCCTTAGCTTTACGCAGCAAAAATTGTTGACCATTTTATAATATTGCGTCTTTTTACCCATTTTTAACAGTTTTTTACTCGAGTTAGAGAAGGAATTACTTCAGCAACAACTTGTTTAACTTGTCGTTTATTATCAATATTGTATACAAATGATAATTTGAGTACTTATTCATATTTGTACATGATTGAAACGCTATGTGTCTCTTTGGGGATTCAAAAGAAACACATTTGCCGGGAAATGATGGATCAAGTTGCAGTAAGTTGCAGTAAGTAATGAATATTGTCGGAAATTTTCATTTAAATTAACTGTTACAATTTATCTCTAGAATGTGTTTGACTACGTTAGATTCAATACCAAATTGACATCTGAAGAAATGTGTGGTGTTTCCATTGGGTTAGGATGTGTCATGTTTACCACTGAAAAGCTAAATTGGACCGTTAAGTTACCTGAAGATGATCTATCAAAGATGATAAAGAATGAATCACTTACTGTGAGACAAAAAGACCAGACAATTTACGCTTTTGCTCAAGTAACAGATGTTCATATGGATCCATTGTATGTCCCAGGTACTGTTGCTAACTGTAATGAACCCGTTTGTTGTCGCCCTGACCAAGGATTTACTGATCAGTTTGTTGATGCTGCTGGCTTTTGGGGAACCTACAGAGGCTGTGATACACCAGTGTCAACCATTTTTCAAACAATGGAACGTCTCAATGAAAGTTCTCATATGGTGAGTAAATTGCTGAGCTTTTCCTTGGTTCATTAAATTAATTCTGCTATTAACCTTTCCCTATCATTAACAAAAGCTACAATATATTTTAAGTACTGGTGATGTGGTTCCTCATGATGTTTGGAGTTACCGGAGAGCAACAACACTTTCATTATTAGACATAATGGACAAAGCTTATCAAATAGTTGAACCGATTCCTGTTTATTCAGCCATTGGTAATCATGAAGCTATTCCAGTTAATAGGTGAGTATTAAATGATTAAGATATAAGACTATGTTTCGATAAATTTAACAAATATTTTCTCACCAGCTTTTCCCCATCAGCCAAAGAGATAGATCGAGATGATTTAACTAATGATTGGCTATATCAAAGTTTGGCCCATAGATGGGCTCAGTGGATTCCAGAAGAGTATTCAGATGATTTCAAAAGGTAAATACTTGGCAGTTACTGAATACAGTTCGTTACATGCTTTTATCTTTTCTCATTTCAAGACGAGGTAATTATGTTGTCAAGGTTCGCCCTGGTTTTCGGATTATCCAATACAATAGCAATTTCTGTGCTCGGACAAACCCATGGATATTATATGACAGTGTTGATCCTGGAGATATATTACAATTTCTGGTCCGTGAATTAACTAAGGCTGAACAAGAAGGTGATAAAGTTCACTTGGTTGGACATATTGCTCCAGATCATAAGGAATGTACTCAGGCTTGGTTACATAATTTCATTAGGATCATTGAACGTTATCAACATACAGTTAAAGCACAATTTTATGGACACGATCATCGAGATGAATTTAGACTATACTATTCTCTGACTGATCCAACAGTCCCGATTGGTTATGCATTCATTTGTCCAGCGCTAACTCCATACTCTCAAACAAACCCAGGCTATCGGATTTACCAGATGGATAATCAAGGAATCATAATAGATTACGAGACACATTATTTCAATCTAACTGAGGATCAATTTTCTAATCAAATTAACTGGAAATCAGCATATAGAGCATCTGAATTATTTGAAACAGACCAAATAACTCCTATAGCTCTTGATCGGTTCTTAAAAAGGCTTGAAAAGGATGATCAACTTTTTGCTGATTATTACAGGTAATTATTTTTTTTACAAATTTCTTCTCATCTTGATCTTCCACCAGTTAATTAATTAAATTTTGCTTTTCACTTTTGCCTTTTTTACAGATATTTTTATGTAATGACTGATGATGAAAGCGGCCGAAATTGGGATGAAAGTGTAAAGAAGGCGATCATCAGCAGCCATATTGTAAAATTACCAATGCGGACAGCACCAATACCACTCGCAAATTAACAGAGTCAACTATTAAATTAAAAAATGTACGAAGTAGTACCATAATGTAATAAGTGTTCAATTGTTAGTAAAGTTACTAGTTTTTAAATATTTATTTTCTGTAAAAGCTTCCTATTAATCAGTCATATTTCAAACTCTAAATGTTATTTTGTAAATAAATGCTTTATATCGACTAGTCAACAGAAAATTTTAACCAAAAAACATTATTAAACTTTATTTTTATTAAAAACTAGTCATTGGAAATCACTGATTCTCGATTGAGTAGTCAAAGAGCAGCGACTGTAATTTCCCATTCACATAAACGCATATAAGTCGCTTTGACAACATTGTTAAGGTTAAGCTAGTTATAACAACTTTCTTTTCCTATTTCTCCCAGGGGCCTCTGGTCCCGATAAAAATTCAAAAGCAGAAGCACTAATCAATGAGAATCCTTAACTTGGTCTGAGGAGTTAACCTCCAAGAACGATTCTAACAATGATTTCATGGATATGTGGAGCCGAGTATAGATTGAATAATGTACAAAATAAACTTTAATCAAATTAGTTATGAATTTGAAAAATTTATCTCTTGACTTTTTAGGACATTAGAAGCCATATCTACTCCTTGTTTGTGCTTTAGTAAATTTATTATTGGATATTTGATTTTTAAGATCCACTTCCCTTTGCTTCGCTTGATAAGCAAGGTATGTAATTTGATTCTTTCTTTTAGCTAACTGACTGGGTGCAGGTCCTTTAACTGTTGGTCCGGATTCCATGCTTATAGATTTTAAAAGTTCATGATTGCCTGCTAGGTATGAGCCAACATTTACTTCAACTATATCGATTTTTTCGGCTGGTTCTTCTCCAAATTTAGAAGCTATGAATTTCTTAAACTCTGGATCATTGATGTTATTAGTTGGTGGTTGTTTACTTTCATTTTGCTGGGAATAGTTGGATGATGTTGTTGGTATATTGTAATCAACATCACTGTATTTAAGCTCAGCTTCAGGTTTGGATTTAACAACGGGTATGATCGTTTCAATATTTGCATCCAATTGCTTAGTTGACTGTACATCACCAAATGAAAAGAAGGAGGTTGGAGTTTCATCATCATCGTTTGATTTTACGGAAGCCTAGAAACACAAGAAAATGAAAAGCATAATTTTTTGATTAATATAAGGATTCATTTTTAACAAATGAAATGGGTACAGATAAATTTAATCGAACTAACTTTTTTAGGTCGCTTTGAAGGAGGTATACCAGTTTTTGGCCGTGAAATTGAGTGAGGAATAAGTGAAGCAACAGATGAATTTACTGTTGTTGATGCTGATGATAATGATGATGATGTTGGTTGTGTTATTGGTGTTGATGAAAATAGAGAAGAATTAAATCTTGGAGCATTCTTTGGTTTTGGCAGTAAAGATTTTAAAGAGCAACCTCCTGCTGGAGTAATTTTCCTTTTAGGACCTACTTCTTCATCTTCATCTGAATCACAATCCATTTCGTCCAATGAAGGTATAACTACTTTAATTTTCTTAGACTTTTTATCAACCACCACAATATCACTCAGGCCAGCGGTCACTGCAACAGGTACTGATGATTTTTTACCAGCTTCAGATAAATTTTTAAGAACAGAGAGTTGACTTGTATCACCATAAGATACATCAGGTTCTTCCTCCACACGTTTCACACCGTAATCATAATCGTTTACTGTCCCATTTGAACCATTCGATTTGATAACTTGAACTGCTTGCGGTTTATCTGATTTTGAAGGACCAGCCAACTGATCGACATGTTTCTTTTGGCCATCTTTATCAGTAACTGAAATAACTGAAGACTCAATTATCTCCTCTCCTTGAGAACCCTCGTCATCATCACTAGATTCATAAGCAACTAATGGCATGATTAAATGTTAATATCAAATAGAATAACAAAATTTCAAACAGAAATAAAAAAACAAAAAAATAAATAATTAGTAAGCTATGTTTCAGTTCAACTTGACATAAATACAAAAACAACAGTTGCGTAGCAAAGTAAATGTAAAGAAACAGAAGTAAATGGCGCGCAGATTAAATTGCCTTTAGCATTAAAAAAGTATTAATTTTAATAATAATAATTTTAATAATAAATCAGGTCAAGGTGATCAAAGACAGATTAGATTTATTAAAACAACTTTTTATTCACATATTTCATATAAATATCAATTCTCCTCATTTCCCAATTTGGTCTAAATTAAGACTCTTGCTGGTCAACCAAACAGACCCTTAAAATAAAAAGTCCCAATAATAAATTTAACCCCAAAAACCATTCCAATAATCAATTGTATTCAACAATCTAAATCCAGAGAATGATTCAAATAGCCAATGAATTTAATCTTAATCTACTCCACCTTATTAACAGGCCAAGGATGCAATTAATTACCTTTTACCAAATTTACTAAATTGAATTATAATTGAATTATTGAATTATTGAATTATTTTAAACCAACTATGGACTTAAATCTCGGATGTAAATTTATAATATGTAGCTGTTTGATTAAATAATGGCTATAAACGTATATCATTAACTTTGACAGAATCAATGAAAAATGGAAGACAATTTAACTATGACAGGACAATCAGCAATAAATCAAATAAAGTCAGTTAACTGACGTGAAAATCCTCTTCAAGATTGTATTTTACAAATAAAATTCAGTTAAAAAACAGATTGACTTTCAATGTCTAATAATACTTGAAACCATTAATTCAGGTGAAAATACAAACGATTAGAAACGCTTATCAACAAATCTTAATTGTATCCACGAGTGTTTTTCACACAATTATTGTATCATTCGGTCAATCAGTGTTTGATAATCCCAAGTTGACGAACATTAATACCAACAAAATAACAATTACACAGAGTTACAGGTTGTTATAGCCATTGATATTTACAATAATTTTACACTGATTTAGTTGAACGTTTAAAGCTAAAAGTTGATTGAAAGTGAAAATAATATCAGTATTATTAGGTAAAGGTAAGATGTGAAAGGGATTAGATACTGAACTGAATCTAGGATAATGTATTAGTAGTTAATTTTGTATTACGGAAACCGGTTCAAGGTTGGACAGTAATAAACCAAACCAAAAGATATTCAAGTTCAAGTTGAACATTCAATTCATGATGATAATAAAGGTTATCCTCTCAATCTCTTCCTGTAGCACTCACTCTTCAAAATAACCGCCTTTTTTCGTTCACCAGAAAAGAAAGATTAGAGAGAGAGAGAGAGAAATGAAATCTCTGTCTCTTTTCATCAACCTGATCATCATCCCCTAATCAACGTCAACATCAGTAACATTAATATTACAATTATCATTGCTAAGCAATGACCTGAAGAGGGCTAAATCTGGTAATCAGACTAACCATGGATCTCTCAGCATGTAAAACCCTGTTTCAAGTTGATAGAGAAGATGCAAAATTATTATATTACCTCTCTTTCATGGTCTTGCCATCTTGACTCCCTTTTGCCTTGGTATTACAGTAAACAATTGCCTTAAGGCTCAATATTAACGGGAAAATCAAGTCTCTTTTTATCGGTTACCAATTCAAAATGATGATGAGGATGATAATAAAGGAGATAGAGAGAGAGATAGAGAGGAAAGCCGAGTAAGTCTCCAAAATTTTACATTCAACTGATAACTTTCAAATTCATTTATTCATTCATTAACCAACCAACGAGACTTTGTTTTCACTGTAACTCTGCTTTTGTGAACCTATTTTTTTGGTGCAATTTTCGGCTTTCTCCAATCTTCAATTCCATCCAATATCAACTGTGATTCACATTTACGCTGACAAAAGACATCATGTCAACCATGCTATTTATATTGTCGTTTATAATATGTTTTCTTATCCCGATGCAAGTGTCTGGTGAGACCAAGGAAACAACGGATTTCTTGTTCTTAAGTGATTGCCTCTATCAACATAATCATTATCGTAAGCTCCATGGAGTACCAATTTTAACATATGATCGTGAGGTAATAACAATACTAATAACAAGTCATTGACAATTATAATTTTCATCTTCAAGATCATACCACAAGTCTATCATGATTTTCCCTCTCAATTTAGAGTAGCTTTGAATTTAATCTTTGATTACAATCAAACTTTGAAGATTTTCCCTTAAGTTTACATTTTGACACATGAGTCAAAAGTGTTCAACGGTTTTTGCTTGTTTATAACATATTTTCATTGCCAATCTAATCTCTAATTATTTCCGTGTTTTTTGCCTGATCATTTCATTTCAATTGTCGACTAGTGATAATATCAAAGTGTATTCTAAAGTTAATTAACAGTAATAATCAATAATAATATGCTTGGACAGGCTCTTTTTGAAAAACCCAACCAGTTTAACCATGTGCTATTCAACTTTAACCCATTGTGTTCAACTGCTAGCCTTTCATTTTTTACTGATTATTGTTTTTTTTCTTCTTTTTGCTTTAGGCTCTTGATTTGGCTCGGACTAGAGCTTTGGAAATGAGTAAGACAGTCAGTGACGATCCTAACTCACCTTATTCAAATTACACACTCAATTGGTCTTATATACCGGGAACTAAATCACCATCTTGTAAAGCATTGGTCGCCCAATGGTACAAAGGAGTACACTATTACAGCTTTGCTAAAGGCTTGGTTCCAAAGAAAGTTGAACCTTTCGCAAAGTTAATTTGGAGACGATCAAAGAAAATTGGATGTGCCCAAGTAACCAATGATAATGAACAATCTCCTGGTATTTACACTGTTTGTGTTTACACACCCAAAGCTGATTTAAAAACTGGTTCATTGGAAAATATTAGTCCAATTTCAAATCCATCAAATTATTACAATTTTTATCTACTTCGTTAATCTCGGTTAATATCACAATTCTGTTGCATTTCTTCATTTTTTGTATCTTCACCATCACCATCATAACTACTATTCACCAAGATCATCATAAACGCCATTCATCGACAAAACCATCATCGTACTCACCATCACTATCACCAACCATCACCATCATAATCATCATCGTTTTGTTACAAATTTTCAATGCAAAACTCAGAGTTAATTTATTCCAATTGAAAAGGTCAACAAAATATCTCAACATTCCTAGCGATGATTATTTTTCCACTCAAATGTATTTTGTTTCTCAAATTTGACTTGTTGTGAACATTAAGTTTGTATTGAATTTTACGATAATAATAGTATAATAATAACACAATAAAAATTGATAATCTTATTATTCATTTTGCTCAATCTTTATTCAATTTGAAAGATTAACTTTACGCATTTTTTAAGGTAAACCAATTCTTGAGTTTGCCTGGAAACTTTGCATAAAGATGATTAAATTTAACAGCAATTACCTTAGTTCATGCTCAGTGGTTGATATTTTGAATACAATTATCCTCATATTGATTCAAATTGCCATCAAAAGTGTAACCTGTTTAAAAATAGTTATAAAATAAACTAGATTTAATAAGATTTACAAGTAAAATCACCTGAAACTTTATGTAACTCAACCCAAACCCAAACCCAAAATCAAGTGAATTGTTAGCAGCAAAAGTAATGGCAAATCAACAAGTTGATTGCAATAAATCTGTCAAAACCAAACCAAATTCAATCACGATTAAACTCTGGAAATATTTCAACATTAATCCAATACATTGGTCACCAAATAACCATTTACACCGTTTGATCAAACTCATTGTAATCATCTGTTTAAGCCTAACCATTGGTTACATCCTTAACTCATCAGATTATTTCAAGAAAGTTTCGTTCTACTTGATTCGGATATTTCTTCTCAAGGTAAGTCAACATGTTAATGACAATTTACTGTTGATTGTATGACAAAATATAACAAGTATTGAACATATTGTACTGGTTATGTGTATAGAGTTATACTTTGAGTGTGACAGGGAAAAAAAGGCCTCAACTTAGGTTTTCCATTGTTTGCTTTTCGCTTTTCAGGTTAAATTATTTTGGGATTGGTCTTATGTTGGCCAAAATCGATGTTTACTTTTCAACAATCAACCATCAATCTTAATTAAACAAGCCAAAAAGGATCCACAATCAGTTGCAACAGTTTCATTACCAAACCATTTACCTTTCCAGTGTTACTCATGTCAAGATTTAAATAAGATTAAAAGATTAACTTTATCAGCCCATTCCAGAGATGAGATTGAGGATGATATTTTGAATAAAGTACCCTTCATTGTTTCACATGAAAATTCAAGCAACATTAGTAACCCTATTCAATCATGGCCCATATTTTCAAATGCAAACCATTCAATTGAGATTCTCAGTCAGGTAAGCCTTTTTGATTGTCAAACAAATGTGTAAACCTATTAACTAATGCATCTAACTAACTCAACGTGATATTAACCTCACTATTAATCACTTTGCTCAACACTAATTAAAATAATAACCAAAAAAAAGCAACTTCCAAATCAATAACTGGAATTACTGGGCTAACCACAGTTGAACCCAATCCAGCAATCAATATAAATGGGTTTCAACCTGACATAATATATTTCAACATTCACTATTTCATAATGCAATTAATTACAATCTAAATCAGGATTATTTGTCAAATTATACGCAAAAAGGTTGTAAATCAACTGTTAATATAACGATTACCTGATGCTTGGTAATTCCGATAACAAATACAATGTAATACAAACAATAGAAATGCGCTTTTTTAAAATATGACTTCATGAAAAGGTAACTTGTGAGAGGTTTCAGATTATTTTGTTATACAAGAACGAGGCTTAATTATCTCTAATAGCCACCATCAACGATATCATCTGTTGACAATTAGCTGCACTTAAATGATCCCTTAGGCTTGGATTAATTGATTTATGAACACGTTTACTTATTTCTGGTAGTGTTAACCAGTAAATGTTTTGTATATACAGCAACAATAACAGCAACAATATTTTGATTTGGATTTCACAGTAAATTGCTGTTAATGTCTGAATCTGTCTGAAAAAGATACTGAAAGCATGAAAATGGAAACATTGATTTGAAACATTGATGGATATAAAGAAGCACATTTTAATCTAATTGAACTTGTACTGTTTATTATTAGATTATCTCATTGATTACCAGTTAATATGCTTTTCTGATATCTGTATGTTATGGTGTTACAATTTAAGTTGATGGTAAGCTTGATATTTGTTTGAGTTGATATTTGATTTCTTACCATTTACAAATTGTAACCAACCCCTGCTACCAACTTTACCGTTAACCATTAATACTGATGATAATTGTAGTGACCCAATTCACAATCAATTTAACCTGATATTAAGTTGTAAGTGGCAGAAAAAGGCTGAAAAGCTGTTGTCAATATCCGTCTTCCTTCACCATTGATTACCTTGATTAACTTGGTTATCAACATGCTAAATCAGTCAATTGAACCAGACTAACCAGACCTTTTTTTATCCTCCAACCTTATCATCGTCCAGGTCGGACCATCAAGCCTGTTTGCGGTTAAAAGGTTACAATTATTTATCATCAGCCATCCTCATCTTTAGCAAACGGAAATCCGACATTTTGGTCTAATTGCCTGAAGCCTCACCAAACTCAATTTAACCAAATGTTCATTTTATATTAAGTAAAAGGTCAATCCTATCACTACAAGTGATGAGAATTGAAAAAAGCAACTTATGATTATCTTGGTGATGATGACTGTGATGGTCAAGAATTTTTAAAAAGATGAGCTTTGAATGGGAAAGCAAAATAGTAATGATAATAGTTAGAAAAGGTAAATTGCTGTTTCCTGATTGATTATTTTGCCGCAAGCAACCAATGTATTATTTATATTAATATTTACATTTCAAGACTTGTTATTATTCAGTTTCATTTGATTAGAGTAACCTTGATAGTGACCCAAATATCTTGAATTATTAACAATAAATTGTGAACTTTTGTTGGGATTAAGTGAGTGAACATCAAACAACCTTAATTGTATAAATGGATTTGTATTGTAAGAGTAATCAAAAAATGTGCTTCAATATATTGTACAGAGAAAGTGTCACTTTTGTTTCAATTTGTGTTTCAAGTTGATCTTCATCTTTAAATTGTTTACTTGCCCATTAAGATTAATCTTTTTATTTACAGATTTATTCAACTCTAGATGATAATCATGTCTGTATGTTTGCTTCAAATGTTCAAGTTACCTCGCCAAATCAGCTGTTTAACAATTTGAATCGCCAATCTAAACCTTGGTTTGCCAATTGGTAAGTGTCGGTTAGAGGAGAGTTTATTGATTGGTAATTTGTTTTTCATTTACAGGGAAAATTGTGCCTCCAAGAGCAAGAAAAAGATCCGACAATTGTACCAACGACCAGATTTTTTACCCAATTTCATAGAGCTAACTCATCCCAATTGGATCTTAGCCTCAGGTTCAAATTTTACGGCCAAAAGATGGAAACATGTAAGATTGGATTGATTTAGATTTAATTGTTGAAGTAGCAAGCAGAAATGTTGACAGTGAAATGTTGAAATATCAGGATTTGAGAGACCTTTTCAATTGATTTGTTTTAAAATTCAAATCAAGTCTGTTTAGGATTGATTGATTTACAATGAATAATCTCTCTTGATTTGGGGTTACATTAAGTGTGATTTAGAGAAAAGGTTTAATCAGTTGGTTTACCTTGGTTAAACTCACGAGATCTTGATGCGTGAAGGTAAAAGTGTTCTTAAACCATTCTAAAATGTTAGAAATGACGATATCTTTTCATTGATATTGTAACCTGTTTCATGATTAAGTTGCAGTTAAGGTCAATTTTTTTTAATATTATCCTCCATCTTCAACAGTTTATCATTATCGATTCATCAAGGCAACTCTGATAGAATCTTCATGGTAAAAAATTGTGATTTTTATAATTCTAAATATAAGATTGCTAAATATTGATGTCTCGCTACAAAAAAAAAGTGTAAGCTTCAGGCTTGTTGCTGAAATAGTTTCATTTTTCAAGAAAACATGAAAAATTTCTTCACACCAACATTTTTGTAGATTAGAGCTAATAAAGATTGATTCTTGAAACTTAGTCATTGATCTGCTAATTGAGTTATGATAATTTGTGAGCAAAATTTCACTGTCAAACGATACTTTCACTAATTTTGTGATCATTCGATGATTTTTTAGGAAATGGCAATCTGATTCTTCAGCGTCTAGCTCAATTATCTTTATTAAGGCCTCAAATTTTGCTAATCAACCGCAATCAAAGATGGTTTCAAATACCAACTATCTTTGTGTTAGGAATAACCATGAAGTTAGGGTTAAGTTAACAAAAAATGGTAAAATTTAAGTTAATTTTTAGGTTTCCATATCTCGATGTTTAGTTTGTAGATAAGAAAAACAATGTAATAAGAGTTTATTTCAATGTAATAGCACTCATTCAATAGCCAAATATGGCTGAGTGGCTCTAGCTGCATCCTCTTTATGCCATACTAACAATTGTAAGTTTGATTACATTTCAAATATAATTTAAATATCTGGGATGATCAGCCTAGGTTTATGGGGTAACCATCCTCAGCCAAAGTCTACAAGGTTGTCCTGGGCTCAGTTATATGATTGCCATATAATTTGATTATGATTATCAGATATATTGTATATCGATAGATTATGGTTATATGATATTCAAATTGCTTGCGAACTGAATCTGAGCCAAAAATGGCTGAATAGCTTTGGATCTATCTCCAGATGCCATACAATGCTTGATCAGCTACTTAATTTAAATTTAAACAGCCTCATCGCCCAAAGCCGTATCAGGGTTTTCCGACCAAAGTCGTGTCAAAATATTAAATATTCATCACAAGAGTGTTTAAGTTTAGACACCATTACTGGTGACACCACAGAACTGTTCGCTAGGATATCTTCCAAACACGTGGAAAGCACATTGTATTTCTGGTACTTGTCTTATTTTAGCAATAAACACACAAATCAATCAAAAATCGTTGATTCCACTGAGTTTACAGAGTAAATGTTAATAAACTAGTAAATTCAAAATAGTTAATTATCATTAAATTATAATGGAGAAACTGTACAAAATAAAGTTCGATTGTATTGTTACTTTTTATCGTTAAAAAGCGACTATGGTTTTGTTGACTTAACCCAGACTACTAGTGTAACTCAATATTTCTGCAATTAACTTTTATTGTTAACAGATTGATTTGACAAAAGCAACAAAAATTGGTATTGTTGTACAAATAATTGGACACAATGGAATTAGGTTAACACCAAGAAATGAATGTTATCGATTTGGTTGTGACTCTATTGAGATAACAATTAAACCATCAGATTTCTGTAAGTATTGAAATTGTAATGTTTATGATAATGTTGACTTTTAAATTATCCATAGTGATTTACAATACGATGATATGGAAGCTGTTTTATTTACCAACCAATGAATCACTAAACCTTGCTTTCGTTCTCGGAGGATCCCATGAAACTTATTGAAGTTCCACCCTTTAGTTGATAAAATTTCTAGTTACATTTTGTGTTTGTTTGTCAAAAAAGTGACTGGTTTTTTTCCTTCAGTTTTTGTAAGCCGATAATACTAATACGATCACTGAAAATGGACCAACCAAAAAGTTCCAATTGTTTGTGGGCTGGATCCATTTCACAAATATCGCCGCCATTTTAGGAACTCAAAAATTATCACAAGATTGCCAAACGAATTTCAAAATGGCGAGGCAAAATGCATGATTCTCTATCCATATTGTGTGATTTTTTCTGCTTAAGCAGAGCAGCATGTAGAAATTTAAGACTGAAAATTAAAGAATTGGAAAAATGGCTTTGATCACAAATAAAATGATAATACAATTTACAAGTCCTTTTCAAGTCTAAGCATTATCAAGAAGCAATAATGTCCTCAGAGCTGGAAACGCCACTTTAATATGATAGTTACCAAAATACAAGAGATTGATTGCAAGAATTTGCATTTGTTTTTACTTATGTTAACTTATCATTGGTTTTGGAATATTGTTAGAGACACAAGTGTTTAGATAGATGATAATGATCATTTATAATAAAATTGTTAAGTAACAATTGACCTTAGCTAATAAATGATCATGAATAGGTTACATGAAGCATATTATTAACAAATTATATCTTCTTTCCTCAATATTATTTTTGTAGATACCACCTTTATCTACCAAGCGAAAGTAGTCATTTAGCTCAGGTTCTGCCAGGGCTATCAGTTTTCTGCCTTTTTCTAGTTCCGTTCTCTGCGTCGCCATTTGTTTCTCGCTTCTTCAGATTTCTTGAACTCTTGTCCCATTGTTGGTGTAAAAATCGTAAAAAAATGTTGCTTCCTTCAGTTGTAATGGCTGTAAAAAATAGATATTTGTAAAGATTATAAATAAACATAAAAAATATAAATATAAATAATTATACAGATTAAAAGGAAACCAAAGAGCATTTTAAAAGCATAGAATACTTGGGTTGTAACAAATCCAGACCCAGGAACATATTGCTAGCAAAAACACACTTACTCTGTTCAGGAGGAAAATCTTTTGTCTGTAGGTAGACTGAGGGCTTTTTAGAAGACGATTTAAATGAATCCGCTTGGAATCGAGTGAAATTATTTGCATTATAAACAGGTAGCCCTTTGAGGAATTCAGTGGTTGACTGTGCGAGTAAAAATAAGAAAAGAAAAAGGAATGAATAAAATAAGATTAGGTCAAACAAGTAAGTAGAGAGGAAAAGAAAAATGAAAGCCACGAAGCAATGGCAGAAAAAAACAACAGAAAAAAACAACAACAAACATCACCAACAGGAAGATGAACACAAAAAAAAGAGAAAGGCAGAAAATGGAAGATGGAAAGCAACACTTACCATTTTAATTTTACAAAGTGAAAGGATGAATATTTGACACAATAAGTGAACTGAAATGAATAAATATGTTTGTACACAGAGCAATAATCAAGCAAAACCAAAAAAAAGTTAATTAGATTTAGACAGGCAAACCAAAATAAGCAAGACCAGAGTACAAGTCATTTAGAGTCTAGATCGCAAAACCAAAATATAGCTTTTTTGCAGAAAAGCTTTAAGCTTATTAACTCGTCTCCCTTAGAGATAAGTAAACAAGTTTACCCAAAAGCGCACTTTTCAAACCAACAGAAAGTAAGTGAAATCTTTTTCCCTTTCTTTTTGGGTGAGCAAGATGAGTTGTTGAAAAAAGCGCGCCAGTTTCACTTAACTTGCTATTGGTGGTAACATTATCATTAGAGCCAATCACTTGGTAAGAGGTGTGTCGCTGCAAGAAAATTGTGATAGCAAGTCTCTAGTAAAGTTAAAAGTGGTTTACAAAATCTTAGTTAGTAGATAGACCCAAAACGATGAAACCGATGGTACCATCATCATCTGCATCATAATTTGCCTCTTATTTTTGTTTTATTGTTTCTTTTGCAATCTAAATTTTTCTCTCTCTCTTTCTGCTTTTCACCTTCATCACTTGTTAATAATTTGTTCACCCTTCACCTGTAACATTTGCATCATCTTCTTTATTCATCATCATCATTACCCTTTGCCATCAACACTATCGATTCCACAATCAACAATAACAACACAACTGTAACAACCCGACGACAATAACAACATTGTGTGTGCATTTGTGTCTTTTTATGAATTTGGCATCAACAGTTAAACTGAACTTCATTAGTAACAATCATATACGTTTCAACTAATAATCATCACATCAACATATACAACTTTCAACCATTTCACTCTTCCCGCTTAATTTTTACCAGTTTAGTTTTGCTTCTTCTTTTTTTTACCATTTGCCTTCATCTTTTTTTTAAGAAAAAATTTATTATTTTTTATTCTTCTGTAAATTTAATTTTTAAACATCTTTAAATATGCCTGAAATAGCCTTGACCGGAGCATCTAATCCACCAATTCATTCTTCAGTGTGTCGATCTATTGATTTCGGTGAATGCCGACGAAAGCGAGACGTTGATGGATTTTTAAGTAAAGAGTTTGAATCATTAAGGAAAAAAGACACAGCCAGATGGAATTTCGATTTTTACAATGGTAAACCATTAAAAGGACAATATGAGTGGAGACGAGTTACTCGGAGCCAAAGAAATTTATCAAAGAATTGTTTGTTTAATGATGATCAATAAAGTTTTGTTTATTTACCTCTAAAATACAAAGAAAAAATGCTAAGTTAAATTGAATTGGCGCCAAAAAATTGTTCAAACGCCATCTATCAAACGACGTGGCAACTAGTGTAACTAAACTCCTATGCGCTGTAATTAATTTGTTTATCCACATGTTTTCATTAACAAACACTTTTTATCTACACTCTGTTAAAATGCATTACCTTTTCTTCTCTCAATATTAATAATTGTTCTAATTTAATTTAAATCAATTGTGTCCACCCTTTATTACTCTACAAAGTTAACTAAGTGTCGTTTGGTTTAAAAAACTGGATGGTGCTTTTATTCTGTTTTTTTTATAAGCTTTGTCTCGACTGAAATTTCTTTCCTCTACAACTTCAAGCTCTACTTTTAAAAATGCCCAAATTACTTGATAGTGACGATGAAGGTACCATTGGAGGTGAGGATACCTTCAATATTAATGAAAATTATGCTACTGCTTATGAAAGATGGAGACAAAAAGAGGAGTATCAGAAGCTTAAAGATAAATACGGAGAAGACATTCTGAGTGAGGATAGTGTTGCTTCGTATGATGACGATGAAAGTGATGAGAGTTCGGAAAGTGAAAGTGTCTCTGATGTGAATGAAGCTATCTTCGATGAACAATTTCTTAAAGTTTATGGGGCCTTGAAAGCTAAAGATCCTTTGATATATGACAGCAAAGTTCGATTTTTTGATAAAAAGGATGAAGACGGTTCTGCAGAGAAAGTCGAAGATGCTGATGAACCTCAGGTGAGCTCAAAAGAAAAGAAAAAATCCAAAGGAATGAATCTATTGGAGTATCATCGAAATCTGGTTGTCAACGAAAAAGGTATCACTGAAGAGGATCGATTATTGGAAAGCGGTGGCTTCCCAGAGAAACCGCATAAGTCAAGTTATGTCCAGGAGATGGAGAATATTAAGAAAGAGTTTAAGAGTTTCCTTGATGATGATGGCGACGAGGAAGAGTTAATTGTAGGAGTAAAGCAAATTCCAACCGAAAAAGCCGCCAGTCCTGCTGATGTCCTTCGCAAAGCTGCCCAAAGTGATGAGAAGATAGGATTTCTAGCCAATTATTGGAGCAAAAAAGATTTAGACAATCGTGAACAATTTTTGAAAGACTATATTTTGAACAGAAAATATCTAGATCCAGCCGACCGAGAACAAAACAAGTTTAATCCGAAAGTCAAGTCAGCAGAGCAATTTGCAAATATGTCATCTAAACCTATTGAAAACGAATCATCAGAAGACGATGATGATGATGGCGATGATGATGATAACAAAGAGATGAATATTTCTGAAAGATTGACAAATTTAAATGATAAAACTGCTTATCATTTCCAAGAGACAAATGCTGAAGTTATCAAAAGATATCCAAGAGAAGTTGAAAGTGTACGAAATATTGCAAGTTTGGGTTCTCGAAATTTGAGAAGAGCAGAAATAAAGGAACGCAAGGCCAAAGAAAAGCAAGAGGCTCTGCAAAGATTTCGCGAACTTCGCCGGGCAGAGGTCAGAGCAAAGTTAGCAAAGTTAAAGGAGATCAGTGGAAATGATCGACTTTTGGCGGGTGAAGAACCTGACATAGATGCAATTGTAGACGATATTACCAATTTTGATCCAGACAAATATGACCAATGCATGTCAAAATTATTTGACGAAAAATTTTACGATGTTTCCGGTCACTCAGAATCAATTAAGAAGCCCACATTTGACTTTATTCCCGGTATTGATGATGTCGATGACAACCTAAACCCAATCAACCAAGAAGCTGCTGGTCATGAAGTTGAAGAGGAGGTAAGATTTGAAAGATTGCTTATAATTTTCTATACTATTATTATTATACATTACTTTTACTACTATTATTATTATTATACTCAATCATTGGTTTTTTTGTGCCAAGAAGCAAAATAAAAGTATAATCAACATAGGCCAATTTGCTTGCAGCATCGCCTTAGAAGAGAAAAAAGAGATCCAGCTAACAAGGTGCAAGAAAGAGGATGGAGAAGAGGGAGAATAACTACAGGGTGGAAAAGAAAGTTCCTACCGGGGAAAGTAGTCCTCCTCTCTTTCTGCGCAGTAAACAGCCTTTTTTTGTTTATCTTATACTCTATAGCGTTATCCCGGGCTTTCAGTTCATTTTCACCTTTCGACCTTCTTTCCCGGGCTTTTTACACTTACTTGTCCTTCTCTTTCTTTTTCTTCTTAAGCTAAAGAAGAAGAAAAAGAAGAAAAAAGAAGAAGAAGAAATGATGATGATGACGAGAAAGAAGAAAAAGAAGAAAAAGTAAGAAGTAACCAAGAAGAAAGACAAAAAGAAAGAAAGAAAGAAAGAAGCTAGGATGAAAAAAAAGAGGGAAATAAGCTAGGAAAGGTCTGGTTTCTTGAGATAAATGAGCGGGTGAGCGCAAGGAAAGAAAGGAAAGGACAATCACCCGCTCATTTATCTAAGAAACCAGACTTTCTTAACTTCTTTCTTTCGTCTTCTTCTCTCTTATGCTTCTTCTTTTTTTTCATTTACTTGTTTCTTAAAGAAGAAGAAAGGACAGAAGAAAAGTTAGTGCTGCAAGAAAGACCGGGAAAGAAGGTCGAAAGGTGAAAAAGCCCGGGATAAGCGTCCTTTTTACTTGCTTTTCAATGCTAAATTTGCATTACAACTCTCGCAGGGCTCAATCAGACTTTTTGCACACAAAATTGCAAGTGAGAAGAAAAAAAAAGAAGTAAAATGTTATTGCTGATGTTTCTTATAACTTTTTATTCTACTTTTTTCTCTTCTTTTTTATGCTTCTGCTTCTCTTTTTGCACTTAACTTATTCCTTTATTTAATTTTTACATTTGTGCTGTTGACTTTTTATTTATAGGATGAAGATGCTGGTGATGATGGAACATCAAATTCTCGCAAAAAGAATAAAAAGAAAAAGAAAAAGGGAGAGAAAACTCCAGCAGACAAGAAAAACATTGGAATTTATGAAGATGTTATTGCTGGTGAAATTCCAACTCGTTTTAGATATCGTGAGGTTCCTGCAAATGATTTTGGCCTTACACCTGAAGAATTGCTATTTGCAGATGACAAAGAACTCAATCGCTGGGTTTCACTGAAAAAAACCTGCCAATATCGTCCAATGGAGGAGGAAACGTATGATATCAAGATATATGGACGTCGAGCAAATGATATAAATTTAAAGCAAAGAATCTTGAAAAGTGTTTATGACCCACAAAAGGAATCAACTGATGCAGATGATAATGAGCAAGAAGAAGACGACCAGCAAGATGAAGCTCAACACAATAACCCGAGTAGCAGTCAAACTGACCATCAACAGCCAGGCAAACGTAAAAGATCATCAAAGCGTAAAAGGCCAGTGAAAAAGTCAAAAGGTCTCAATTTAACTGCAGAAAGATTGCGATCTTACGATTTACCATCCAAAGTTATCAAGAAATTGCATTAATGCAAAATAGTGCAATGCAAAGCATAAATGAATGTAAATTTATAATTTGCTAATCGCGCAACATTGATATAATAATTAAATGTTTTTGCAAAATAATTGTAAATATAGCTTTTATTTTTGGTTCAGGGGGTAAATTGCAAGATACAAAAGTGCCCAAACTCAATCAATTCAACTTGAACCCAACTCTTAGATAATTAAATTATTTTACATTATCCTGTCAAAGACAAAGTCCCTCATTAATTGCAAACTTTAATCTTCCTCCGATAGTAATGTTATGACTATTAATAACAAGGCTAACTCTTTGACATTTTCAACCGTAAGCCTTGAAGCAATGAAACATCAACCTTTTTTTTGTTGTTGTTACCTGTTTTCTTGTTTCCCAGTGTAAAGAGATAGTCAATAAGTCAAAAAAAGATTTGTCTGTTTTGTTTGTTTACCTGTCTCCAGTCAAGTTTAACCATTTTACCCAAACAATTGACCTTATTTCACCCTTCATCTCTCAGTGTGACAATTAATGGTTAAACATTATTAATTAGTTATAATGCAATTTGGACAAGCAAAATTGTGAAAGGTGCAAAGCAAAGGCCAAAGCAAAAAGATTAACCTTACAAAGCTGACTTGTTAAAGCCAGTAAGTAATCAGTTTACCCGAGCTTCAAACCAAGCTAAAAACAAGGTAATACAGAAAGGCAGAGAAGAAGCACAAAAAATGAAAAAAAGTGACTTGTGATCATTTTGAATTTATCTGAAGCTATTATAAGCTAAGGGCAACAAAAAAACCGGTTGAGCTTATAAACCTTTGGCGCGTGTAAACTGTTCAAGTAAGCTCCAGTTTTTGGTAACAGTTTAATATTGAGACTTTTTTTTACTTGAAAAGTAAAGCAAGAAAAAACAAAACAAAAGCAAATTGATAAACACTTTGAAAAACATTGAAAAAAACGAGAAAAACAAATGAACCTAAAAACCTGCAAACCTAAAATTGAAATGCCTTTTTCACTTTTCAGTTTTTTTGCAACTTAATTGCTCAACTTGCAAGGCTTTACCATCATAATTGATCAGCTTGATGATGATAAACTGGAAACTTGTTTCTCCTTTCATCTGATGATGACAATAATGGCTTTTACATATAAATGTTTTTTATTGTAAATGTTACCTTATTTTTTATTTTTGTCTTGGTTACGCTTTTCTCCTTTTGGTTTTCACAATAATTAGCTTGAAACAGCATACTGACCACAATTGACCACAAGATGATTTACAGAGATGTTTTGACCTTCGTTTGCTGTTCCTATCTGTATCTAGATCAGCAAACAAAGCAACAAAGGAACTGGAAAAAAAGGCACACAAAATGGTTACAAGGAGAAGGAGAAGAGAAAAGTTGAAGTGAAAACAAAATGTCTAATGATGTTCACAACTGAAACTTTGCTTTTCTTCCCTTGCTATCGTTATTATTGCCCATTGATGAAAGTAAAGTTGATTATATTGAACATTATTTTGTTTATATATTATAACCATTATTAACTCCCTGTCAACTCCCTGTTGATTTTTTGACGGTTTTTCTCTCTTTTTTCTCGACTTTCCATGCATACCTCATGATATACCTTATAACTTTTTGGCACCTTTCCTCTTTATGTTTGACTTTTTTTCCCTTCAAGAGTTTACAAACTTTTATTCAAAGTCAAAGTTAAATCAATAGTGACAATGCGAGTTGATAAAGAGTTGAAATTGCAAAGTGACAACTAAATTTATGGCATTTTGTTGGTCTTGTTAATATGTTAATCTAATAGTAATTAGAAATTTGAATACAATTTGCACTCGATTATTGCTCTTGAATGGGGCTGATCAAAGTGATCAAAGAGTTTGGTTGATGTACAAATATTAATATGCAATTAGGGTGAAGATGGTAATGATTATGGTTATTAAACAATTAGATGAGGAGCTGACATGAAGCATATAGAAGATGAAATTATTGAAAAGGTTGAAAACATGACAAAACAAAGTCTATCAATAACAATGGCAGCAAACTTCCAATCATCCAGAATCTCAATCACTTGATCCTCTTTACGAAGTCGATTTGTCATGTATTGTATTTCATTTAAAATGTCATCCAATTGTTTACCATGACAGGCACAGTGTTTGGCCTGTCGCGATACCTGATGTTGAGCCAAGACGGACTGAGAGACAGTTGGTCCCGGTAATGAGTCAATCTTGTCATGAAAATTTCTCATTAAACTTTCTTCTTCATTCAAACAGTCACCATTGACTGGATACGATTTACGGCAACAAGAGCAAACCTGATGCGGGTGCCTAGGGTAAGCCAGGTTGGGCAGTGAACTGTTGTTTACGGTGAAACAGTTTTGACATTGATTCTGTGGTGAAAGTGGCTGGTTCAAGTAGACATCACGATTAATTGAAACTGAATGATGGTGGTGATGATGGTGAGTGGGATGTGATTGGTAATTAATGAATGGCTGATTAACCTGATGATATGCACATTGATTATGATTAGGTGAAGGTGGTGATGATAATGAGGTAGTTACTATTGGAATCCCGTCTCCATTGATTGTGTACACTTTGGATGTGAATCGATTCGATCTGTCTGGTGGTTTAACAGCTCCAGGTCGTTTCACATTCAAAATGAATGCCAACCATTGAAGGATCACCTTTTTCATCTGAAATGCAAAAAATTTCATGGTCAATCCAAATGCCGTTACAAGTAAAAAAAATTTTCTTCTTTTTTTACCCTTAATTGTCAGCAAAATGATAACAAAGTCAATTAAATACATGAAAACAATAACTGGATAAACATTGTTAAAATGTAATCTTTTCCCTCCCACACATTGTCTAGCCAACGATTAAACTGGAATCAAAATGATGGAAACTAATTGTCGCAAATGATAATGTTAAAGGTTGAAAACAAAAAAGCTATATCAACATCCAATTAATCCTACTGCTATCTAATCATTTAAGCTTAACCAAGTTAATCTTTTAATCAGCCTAATCAAATGAAAGGTTGAATGAAACAAGTAAATGGCATGAGCAAATAAAAACGAGTGATTAGTTTAAAAAATCAACTAAAAACAGTTTACTTTTCCAGGTTTATAAATAATTGATTGGATGGAACTGAATAATGGAAAGAAAAGAAAGGAAAAACAAAGGTAAAGGTGAAGAAACTTGTTGAAGGTAAAAAATTATGGCAAAGAAAATGATAAAAATATTTCCGATCAGAGTGGGATTCGAACCCACGCGGGTAAAACCCATTGGATTAGCAGTCCAACGCCTTAACCACTCGGCCATCTGATCACGTTAGGGTAATGATGACCACTTTATATTGTAATGCTTTTTTGATAATCACTTTTACTCGACAAATGATCGATTCTTGGTTTGACCAAGGTTTGCTGTGCTAAGAGAAAGGTGAGATTAATTTGTTATTTACTTACCAATGGATTAAGTTCATGAACTTCGGATGATTTGTAATGAAAATTGAGCACAACTACAGTCATTACAACTGAAAAGGCCACCATAAGCATTATGCTTGCAAAATAAGTTGCTAATGAGTATAATCAGGGTTAATGTTGATTAGGTTTTCCGAGTGAAATTGTGTTCATTTTGGTGGGGAAAAGTGAAATTATGAGCCAGGGTTGGTCATGTAAATAAATGATTAATAATTAATGATGGCTGGCAAATGATGTAAAATAATTAGAGCAATTTGTTTACTTGTAATTTCTTACCTATGGCTGAAACTGTGTCTGATGTTGCAGGTAAAGTTTCAGTCAATTGAAGTAGGAAGACTGTCATTGATAGCAATATTGTTACACCAAGAGTCAACTTTTCACCTGAATCGGGAGGCAAAGTGAATCCAAGAAGAGTCATTGAAGATATAATTAAACAGGGAATGATTAAGTTGATTCCATAATAAAGAGTTCGTCTTCTTATGTGAATCGTATAAGTTACATCGGTAAATGGATCGGCACAGCAACGGTACAGCACTTTATTCCGTCGACCCAAGATACCTGGAAAAGAGAGAGAAAAAAAAGATTGGTCAAGTTTGTCTTTTCGTCTTTTGCTTTTGGTCAAATGGTCTTTTGGACTCGCCATTTTACCTAATAAAATCCATTCACCGTTTTCTATGTAGGTTGACAGATCACCTTGATTTGATATAACGTCAAGATCAACTTGTGACATGTCATGTGACCAGGAGCCAAATTTAAGTTTACAAAGTTGATCATCAAAGGGAAACCAGGTTATATCAATTTTACAGGTTGATGTAAATACACCTGGAGGTAGATAAAAGATTGATCCATTGGATTGGACAACTAAATTGGTTGGATAGGTGCTGTCAAATCGTGGATCGGCACTGGTGAAAGGAAAGGTAATTAATCAATTAAAACAAATGAAATAAACAATTGAAAAGTTCATCCATTTTTCATATCAATACATCAAAACATTAACCTTCATCAACAATTTACTCAACAAATGTCATAAGCAGTGTGTGAGTAAGTACGTGGTGAGAGGCATACTTCAACCTAACAGAGTCACTCTTATCGCATCAAAAGCAACACACAGTTAGGGTATTTTCACGCTGAAGAGACGCACATTTCAACTGTCATCATCTTCATCATCATTCATTTTCGTTCTCATTTTCATCATAATTTCGTAATCATTGTTGTCATCATTGTCATCTTCATTTTTTAACATCTTTATCATCATTATCTGAGATCGCATCTGTGATCAGTGATCACAAATCATCTAGAAAACTATATTTAGGCTAAAGATAAGCATTTTTTCAACCTTACAAAGTCACTCTTATTGCATCAAATGTAACATATAGTGAGACCCTTTTGCACGCTTAATACTTTTTTATTTCATTATTTATCTTAATCATTTGCCCAATTATGTCCAAAAGAGTTAGCAAACATTTCAATCATTTCAACCAATTCTATCATTTTCAGAATCCCAATTTCATTTGCGTGATCATTTCATCCCTTTTAATGTACTTTTATGAGCTTTCATTATAAACATGAGCATGACATCCTGAAAGGTAATAATCTTATTGCAAAAGCCTTTTCATTTCAAGTTTACCAGAGGTTTGTTCAAATGGATAAAAAAAGATGAACATTCATAAGAGAGCGAGAAAAAAAATTCAAAGTTCAATACTTTCTTGTTTCTCTCATGAAGAGCAAAAATCATATTACGAATGAATATAAAGCAATAATAATAGGAATGAATGTTTATCAAATTGAACATGAAAACTCAGTTTATTTACAAAAACTTTCTCAACTCTGATAATCATGATGGAATGAACCAGTTAATTGAACAGGGAAAAACTGAAAATCAATATAGGAACATATGAAAGCAATGAAAAATTGAAGATTACATTAGATTTTTTTTCCAATCTTATTGTATCACCATGAATATCATGAATATAATCAAAAACATTATCATTAATATTATCATTAAAATTATCATTATCAATAGCAATTTTAAATTCTGTTTTTGTCTTCTCATTGTTGACTTACAATAAACTTATCAACTTGAATAAGATGACATTTTATCACATTTTTTGTCTCTTGAGTTTCACTTCATTTTTCATTGTACTTTCAAACCCTTTTCACTGTTGCCTATTTTAACCTATTTTATTGTTCATTATCATGCAAAATTAAATGTTTATCGTTTATTCAGTTTTTGCTCAACAGCAGAAATCATTTAAATGCATGAACAGGTAAAGTATAGATGAAATGATTCAAGTTTGATTTTCGAAGAGAGAAACAAAAATGTTTGCAATTTCCTGTGAAAGTTGAATGATAACTTTCAAGGGCAAAATGCAAGTTCATTGATCCAAATTAGTTCATTTTTTTACGTTGAAAAACAAAATGCAACTCTGCTTTTGAAACTTTTCATTTCAAGTTTCGTGCTGATGTTTGGTTGGCAACCAATTTACTTGCCTTAATGGTCATAATGTCTGGAAGGGTTTGTAATGATAATTTTTCATGCAATGCATCAGCTTGGGTTAAGGATGTAAGCTTGATATCAAAGTTGAATGCAACTTGTAAGTTGAGTGAAAATTTTGAAAACAAACAAAACTTTTTTCTACCCAAAGTTGAACTTGAACTTGTTGAAATATGAATATTTTGCATTTTGTTTTGCTTTTGTTATCTCATTAAAACATGAAGACTGATTAAACATTTTTAAGGTTGAAAATTTAATCAACTAATAGAGGCTTGGATAGTCTGGCTAGCATCAACTGGTTAACATTTTTTAATCAACAAATTGTGAATCTCTAGGAAAGATTGAGTTGCCAGGATGAGTTGCTGAGTATTTATTTTTAACCGGTTATGCCAGTTGAAAGTTTGAGGCCCAACTGTCTTTGTCTAGGTTTGTAACTTGAAAAGTCATTTCTCTGGTTATCATCAACTTTTATTTTGACACGGAAATTTCAATTGATGACAAAAATTATCGAAGATGCGATAAAATGTCAATCAATTTGCTCATGGTTTCAAGCGAAAAGCAACTCTTATCAGAATCAAATCAACTTTAGTCAGCAAACTTTTTCGTCGTCGGTTTAAGGTCTCGCAATTTGTTACAATAATAATGCAAAATAAGCCGATGAATAGCAAGCTTTAACTGGTTCTCAGGTTGAACGTTTAGTCAAATCTTGATCTCATCTGACTGATAACATTTAGTCTTTGGTTAAACCAAATCAACTTTAGTCATGAAAATGATGTAATAGTTAAACCATTGCATTGAGAAGAGATTCAAACTCGAGAGCGAAGTCCGAGTGTTTTATCTCATAACTGCGAGATATTGTTTTTTAAGTGATTCAGATCAATTCGTCATCTAATCTCAACACTTTTTTGATTTTCCATTGCTTTCAATGGTTTTTCCTGCTTCATTTTAGGTTTTTTTTTATCAATTTTTAATTTTGCTTTTTGTCTTTTCAGTAAACTGTTTTGAGTAAACTGTGCTTATAACAAGTCCTTGATATCAAGTTAACCGATTTTCAAAACAGTTTATTTAACCATTTGATTAAATACTGGTTACCTTCAACATAGTGGTTCAATATTTTTAATTCAAATGAGAAATTCAGAAATGAAAATCGCCTTCTACTAAAGGGTGTTGTGGTTACTAATCACTGATTAGTAAGTTTCAATCACTTACCTAAATGCTGATAAAGAAGTAAAGATGATAATGAAGATTGCTGAAGATACCAATAACAATAACACTCATAACTTATGATTCATAACACAATATGAAGATGAATAACACATTTTAATCATCTCATGAGCATTATCACCTTTATTTTCATCTCTTATTAACCATTGTAAGCAATTGTTTCAACCTTACTAACCCAAACACCCTTTAGAATCGACGTGTTAAGAGGAAAGATAAACTGAATTTCATTTTATTATTGGCACTTATAGTTGCAGGAAAATCGGTGTTTGAAGTTGGAAGCTTTGCAATTGTTTTTTTGCTAAATTTGTCAAGCAGAAAAAATTCTTGCACATTCAGATTTTGCAGAAATTTTATCATTACCCAAACCTACAATAGGCCAAAGTGGACTGAAATGTGACCTTTGTATGAATTGAGCCATGAAGATAAACCAAAAACCGTTAAACATAACAAAACTTGCTCTTTCATATGAAGTTTGAAAATCAGTGACTTTCTTGACCTTCTTTGAGTCAATTTTGATAATAAATACGATAAAATAAACACCATTTTCATTGAAGAAGAGCCAATCTTTACCTAATTATAACCAAAAAAATTCTTGTTTTTTCGTTTTTTAAGCAAAATCAACTTCTTGATGTAAAGCTCTCGAGATTCACTCTCTTGCATTGAATCTCAACTCAATGTTTAACTAACTCATATAAAATGATCTGATAATATTTTAATACACTTTGAGTGCATCAAAGCTAATGGTCGTAAGCTGTGAGTAAACTTTTTCATCAACTTTTAAGCTAATGAATATCATATTTAAACATGAAATGTTTATTAGAATCAAATCAACCTATAAGTATTAATGGTTTCCATCAACGTGAAGCAAGTACAGTTGCAGTTATTTTGAACCGTTTTTAACAACTAATGCAAAACAATCCAATTTGTTTCAACCTTTTCCTTGCACAAGTCACTTTAAGAGTTTTGTTAAACTTGAGAAACGGTCAATCACAAGAAACCAAATGGTTTGTTAATTATTGTTTTCAGATCATATTACATGGATGTTGCTGTTCGTACGATGAATGTTTTCTAGTAATGGCGATGTGATCTGGCATCGCTTTCCAGGTCAACGCATATTTCATCAGCCGGTCATGTTGAAACTATTCAAACTGAGCGTTCAGAATGTGCCTAAACTTCAAGTTCAACTTTAAAAAGTTTTGTTGATTGTTGCTGATTAACAACTGATTATCATGTGTTTTGTGTCAAAAAATTGATAAACGAGAGATTTCCGTTGATATGATTAGAGCGAACATGCTTTGCTCTTTTTTTTGAAACTTTTTTTTCCTTCTCTTGCTTTTCTCATTACAATATTATTAGACTTGTAACTTGACTCAAACTTTTTGTGTTTACGATTTATCCTGTTATTTGCTTGCTTTTTACCTCATGTAATCAATCATTAATGGTGATGGCAAATGTGAAAGTGTGTTATTACTATTAGAAGCAAAATGCTGATGATTTAGTGTTGATAGCAATTGATGGATGTTGAAAGATGTGAGTAAAACTATTCTGTTTCAATCTTCATTCTCCGTTCATTCCTGTACTTTTCGCCCTTTTCATCGCTCAATTGTTTCACTTTTTTAACCTGATAAGGGTTAAATGAGTTGTTGCCAACAAAAAATGGAAAATTTTTTCATCAAAAAAAAGTAAAGAGACTTAAACTAGTGTCAAAACTTTTACCAGACAAATGCCAATCAAGTAATCAACAATTTATCAACCTATCAACATTGATGGTTCCAATGACATGCCATTAATAATATCATCACATTTAACTTGCAAATAAGGTTAATTTTTGTGGATTCAAGACTAAAAGGAATGAAATTTTAATATCATTTGTCTAATCGATTATTTTCTGTATTAATGTTTCAATGAACATACACTTTGGATAAACTTGCATACTTGCTTTTGCTTGCTTTTTACAAGCAAAAACATATTAGCTCATCACAAGCAAAATCATTATTCTGCTTGGAGTAACATTAATATTAATTCAAATTGACCTTTTCAATTGTTTCCAATTATTCGGGTGTCAGGTATTAGGAATGGGAAAGGAGAAAATTGATTCTTCTCTTGAGATGCTAACAATACTAAGAAAAATTTATCAGCCGAGAGTCAGAACTAAAGAGTTGGATGAAACGATTTTCCGCAATCAACAATTAAAAACAATCGAATGATAGTTTTTCATCGAAATCGTTTAACACGCAAATTCATTCAGAGAAAAAGTATTTCAAAGAAGCTTATCTTTCATGGTAAAATACAGATTCAAAGTTTTTCCAGAACAGAACATTAGGTAGAACAGAAAGTTAGCTTTTGAACCAATTCTTAAAAACTCGGAACTTTCGAATAAATGAGCTAATAGCTAATATTTGATTATCATCTGCTTAGATCATAGAAGCACCCAAAGGCGAGAAGTGAAGCGATGTCTAAAACGGACCTCAAAGTCTTTCAATGAAATGAATTTTTGCATTATCAGACTTTTTTTCAAAAACGATTGAAGCTATTTTCATTCCGTTTCATTGATTGATATTTTTAATTTTAGATTTTTCAAATGCAATTTTCGTGCAAAACTTTCTGACTACTGAACTGAATAAGTGCAAGTTTCAGCTAGTTTGAACCTTTGATGTATTATTTATCGAAGATTAACGCATTATTTTTACATTAAGATTGTAACAGCGGTTGCTTTAGCTTTAAAAAATGGCTTTTTAAAAATATTTAGTGAAGTTCGAAAAATTGATTTTCCTTTGGCAAACGATTGAAGAATGTGATTCTGAATCCATCTGGTTATCTAGCCAAGTGACTGAAATCAACTGAAAGGTTGTTTAACTTTTACAGAAGAGACTCGCGACTAAATTTCAAAAAACCTGGAACTGTGAAGTTCACCTTTTCATTGCATCATGCTTAATATTCATTGCTTTTTAGCCATTATTTTCCCTGTTCTTGGAATCGCTATTTTTCATGGAAAATCATTCAATAATTTTGATTAGTTGTAAATTGAAATGCACAGCACAGCACTCAATCTGTATAAATTGGTATAAAGTTGAATGCAAATAAATTGGTTCATCAAAATTGTCGTCGACTTCTTTTGTGGCGAACAATTGTGCAAATTGAATAAATTTTAGCCTCAAATTGAATTGAAATCAATTCATTTCTTTACTTATTCTGACTGAATTGATTGCACAGGTTTTTTTCTTGCAACGAATTCCAGGTTTCAATTTACTGTTTGCATTTCAATTTGAAACTCTAACCGCAACATTTTGACAGTTTATTTGATTGATTGTTGAACAACATCAACAATTGAAGTAAAGCAACATTTCATTTCTTCCTTTCCATTGTTTCCCTGCAACATTTTCAACTGTTAATTTCAACTTATTCACTTTATCATTACTTTTTATTTTCATTCAATTATTGCAATCATTTATTATGAAAATAATTGCACTCTTCAATTGAATGCTTTCTATCAATGGAAAATTGTTCAACTGAAAAGAAAAGTTCATTTTTCAATTTTCAATTGAACACTCACTGAACAATTGGTTAACTTGACATTCCTTTTAAAAAGCATTTAGTGATTAAACAATTACTAATTAAAAATTCATTTCGTTTTTTTTGCTTCTCTCATTACAACATGTCACTCGATGTTAATGGGAAATCACATTGAAATTTATGGAATTTTCAAGTTGAAGTTGAAGGTGAATATTGTCAGGGAAAGAGGAACGTTTCAATTGAAAAATGTAAGCAAAAGAAAAAAATGAAAAGAGAATTGTATTGTTCGATAATCTTTCAAATCCATCAATTGTTATCAACAGTGAATCACATTCAGAAACATTTCCATTCAACCTACTCAAGAGAATAGGAAAAGATGAAGGAAAAGGTTCGAGTATAAATTCATCTTCTTTTGCTGTTTTACCTGTTATAAAGTAGTAGATCGGGCTTCCATATCCTACTTGAAGGTATCCTAAGGCTTGTGAGTCCACCGTAATCAGATGAGTTCCAGGTTAAATTGACATCAGTCCAAGACTGTTGGTAATGAGAAGAGAAGAAAAGATTGTTTGAAAACATTTGGTCAATGCTATTCTCATGTTATTATAATTCAGATAAATACAGTTGTTTGAATACCATTTGTAGCCAAATATTGCTCACAAGTAATTGCTCCTTTTCATTCTGGCCAATGTTCAGGTTCATTTTTGGTTCAACAATTGATGTAAAAGAAACAAATTGAAATGTAAATCATTTGTAAATGTCTTTAAATTGTCTTGTCCAAGTGATCAAAGTCAATCAATGAATTTGAAAATATCGAGTTTTGTTGAATCAATTGCAATCAATTAAATTGCTCAGCAATCATCATTGTATCAATGAGAATGCTTTTAATAACTGCAACATGAGGAGTATTTGGATATGAGTTGTGATGCAGGATTCATTTATTGCGGCTAAATATAGCATTTGATTTAATAGAATTTTTTGTTAAATTGAATCAACTGTACAATCAAAGTTATCCCATGATGTATCGAGATATTTTGTTACAAAATTTTACTGTTCAATTGGAACTGTTCGTCAGCTGAACTTTTCAGATTATTTGATAACAATGAAAAAATGAAAATGTTTTTACGTTTTGAGAGATTGATCTCTATTAGAATCGAATCAATTTTAATGAATGTATTAATAGTAACTACAGGCTCTTCCATGATAACTTTTAATTGAAATTGAATTCAATGTTGTTAAACTTTCATTTGGATTCGTTTGGCTCAATTTTTCTGGTTTTTTTAATTAATCCCAAAGTTAGCTTTAAAGGAGATTGAATTTCAATAAAATATTTAGTCTTCCATGGCCTATGATGAGTCTTCTTTGATAGCGAGGGTTATCTGAAACTGCGTACCGACTTTTTTTGGACAATTAGTGATTAAAATGTTAAAGATCAAAGACATTTTAGCGAATCGTTAAAATAATGAAAAATAATCAGATAATGAAAATCAAAATCTTATCGGTTTCAAGATTAACAGTTGAACCTTGAATAAGACCTTTGCTTCTTGTCACAATAGAGCGACTTAAACTCATGATTCAAAACTCAGTGTCAACCAAGAAGATGATTTGAACTCTGAATCATTCTTTGCTCAACTCTTGATTCAACTTTAAGCTGAAAACAATCTTATTCAAACCATTGGATAAAATTGGATAGCAAATTGCATGAAACCCGGAAAAGGAAAGAAAAATCATCAGCCAGCAAATAAATTGGCAATTTCGGGTTAATGAAGTAAAAGTCAAACTGATTTCTGCAAACAATTATAATACATACAACTTGTAATTGTAAAACTTGGTTTAACAAGCAAACTCTCAATCATGACTTATCTCAAAACTCTTTACTGATAATACAGTTGTGAGTACAATACACTTAATGAACATTTAAAAGACTCGAATTAAATTATTAATGAAAAAATCATCGTAAAAATGAGAAAACCTAAAACTAAAATTTGAACAACAGAACAAAAATCAATCCAAGTTGGAACTTCGAAAGCGATCCCATCTAAAACTGAATCAAAGACATTTTTCACCAAACTCTTTACTCGAAAGACAAAGGGTAACGTAATTGAATAACCTGATTATAAGAAATCTACCCACCGATTGGCGATTTGATGCTAAAGATGTGTATAACCATAAGAAAACAGGGGCCATTTTCATAAATCCTGATCCAACAATGAACCAAAAACCTGAATAACAAAAAAGTATTTCCTCTTCACTCAATGTTATTGATTACGCATTCTGCGTTTCCCGCTATTTCTCAGAAATCTGAATTCTGAAATGAGGTTTTCTATTTTTCGTTGTTGTTGCGTTAGAGCTTTCATATTACGCATTTTTTTGCTTAGAACTCGCTCAGTTTGACCACAATTTTCACAAAAAAATTGGTACGTGACAATCACTGCATCGAGCAGCTAAAAGATTCACTCGCTGGGGAAGCCCGGGTGCTTCATCTCATAGCTTCGAGATATTGTGGTTTAACTGATTTAAACCAATGTATAATCTAATCTCAACCCCTTTTTTCAATTTTCAAGAAAATTTTTTTCTTGATTTTCCTTTGCTTTCAATGGGTTTTCCTATTTTCATTTTAGGTTTCTTATCATTTTCAATTTTGACTTTTTTTATCAAGTCTAATCACTCTCTTTATCACTGTCTTTTGAGTAACTGTGCTTAGTTAACAGTGTTAGTTAACCATTAACCAATTTGAAAACAGCACCAGATTATACAATTTACCCATTTGATTAAATACTGGTTACCTTCAACATAGTGGTTTAAATTGACTTTAGATGTATAGATAGTCAACAGTTAGATTAACGTGACCAAATGCAACTTATCAAGAATTGCGAATTGGTTATTGAAATTGTTTCTCATCCTTACAAATCTACCCAATTTTATACAAAGACAAAAGCTTAAGAAGATAAAAGGTGATAATGTTGAGTAGTGAAATAAAACTGGAGAGATGATGAAAAGGCTGGAAAAGAGGAAAAGGAAGAGAAAGAAATAAAAGACAAAAAGTGGATCTTCTTTTGTTTCTCAAGTAATAAAAGTAAATCTTGTGCTGATTAAATTGATTCAATTGTTGAATCACTTTTCCATCTTAATAACCTTTCAAAGGTGAAGATAACAAAGTGAAAGCATGAAAAATTAGACACAAAAACAATAGACCAACGAATTAAGATTATAACTCAATCAAAATATAAAACGGTGAAGAGCAGCAGCAAAGACGATAAAAAAGTGAACTCAAAACTCTGACAGAAACCAAATGATATTGAGAGTAAAATAATGTTTCAGTTTGGCTGCAAGGCAACAATAATAAGGCAAATATTATTTAGCTATTTACCTAAACTCAATGTTTGCCTTTATTGACAAGAACAAGAAAAAAAAGTCAATTGTTAACCAGATTTATTTGCTTGTTATCATGATATTATTACAATACTTGAAATGTCAAGAGCACCAACTGTTATCTTGAGAAGTAAGAAACACGAAATGCTATTAATTATCAAACCAAATTGCCAAATTGCTGATCAAAACTGGAGCAACATTGAAATTGAAAAGATGAGCTTTCACTTTGTACTCATTATTTATTAAATTGAAAAAAGAAACCTCAAACAATTGAATTAATTTATTCACATTTGTGTTTCTTTATTCACTATTAATATCTTCAACATTCATATAAACTTATCTAGATAATTAGATAACTTTTTTTTGCCTTCTCAATTTAATGAATAATTATCATTATAATGATGATGGTGATACAAGATTAAATATTTGCTCATTAAATTCAGTCTTAATTTAAGCCTCAATTTTACCACATTTTCTCAATCTTCCCAAAATGTTTGATTAATCTTGAAATTTTGCTGAAAACGATGAAATATTGAAGACTCCAAGTTTTACTCCAGGCTTTTCACTCCCAGTCAAAACTCCAAGTTGACTTTGAATTTTTCACTTGATTAATATTTAATGTTGACTCAGATTTAACTTTAGTTTCTTCTTGATTAATTGATTATAATTACAGACAATTTTGAGGTTGAAAATGAACTTTTGTTTTTGCAATTCAGTTCAACTTTTCTGGTTTAAACTTTTTCTTTTGCATTTTTTTTCAATTTCTCACCAATTGGGAATGATGATTACATGCTGAGCTCTGTTTTTACCATGAAATGAACAGAGTTTAATTTTAATTCAATTAGAGTTGAAGTTTAAAAGTGAAAATGAAAAAGCAAAATTTGCATTATTATTTTTATACGAGATTTTATGGAAAACATTAAGTCGATAGTTTTCAGGTTTATTAAGGCCAAGCATTTGGCTTTTACTGTAAATTGTTAATGATGAACTTGTCTCGCTAATCAATGGAAAGGTAAACTTGAGCAATTTAATTTAATCTATTAATTGATCAACTGGATTGGTGAAAAGGGATTTCACTTTTTGCTTCATTTGATTGTCGACCTTAATTTCCCTTGATGGTTAAAGGGTTTACAAGGTGTTGCACCTTTATGGACAAGAATGCAAATCAAATCAAGAATATTTTTCGATCTCTTGAGCTGATCAAATGCTTACCAGTTTAATGATCTGTTGATATGTTATGCCCAATGTAACCAGCAAAGTATCCGACTCATTGTTAACAGGTCGCTCTAGAAGATCATAATTTCTAAGTAAATCTTGCAACAATCTTCTTTCATTTATACTGCAATCAACATCTGAAACAAATTGAAGGTTGAAGAAGAAAATTCAAGTTTAAAAATTAATGCTCGAGTTATGAATAAAGAATTGAAAAATTTGCACCAAAAATGAAACAATTTTGTCAACTTGACTACGTTGTTGTAAAATGAATGCTTACCTTGGAGTAAAAAAGTACAGCTGATGATCATAATAAGATACTTTTTCAGTTTCCCAGAGCAATGGTTGAACATTTGATGGTGTTGAAGACACGAGATTTGTAATGAATATGAAGCTTGATGAAACTGATGAAAACACACACAAAGTTAAACTTGAACAATGAATGTTGAACAATTTGAAAGTTTGTTAACTGATGAACTCGATGAAAATCATATTCACTGTTGAAGTGTAAACAGTTATTTTTGAAAATATTTATTCAGAGTTGAATAAGTGCCAATGAGAGAAGGATGAAAAGGAAGAAAAGAAAAATATTTATTTTTTTATAAACTCTTTTCACTACAAAATTGTCTTGGCGATTAATGAAGTGTATATACACATAGATATTGCCCGTTTCAACGTCGACCTTGTCTCACTCGACTCTTTCATTATCATCATGCATCATCCTATCATCTTTCATCATCAACTCCCTGCAAAAACAATCCCAATCGATAGGAGCATGGAACATGCTCTTTCACCAGAAGAAACAAAATTCACTTTCATCATTCACATCATCATTCTCATCATACTCATCATTTCCATCATTTCCATCATTATCATGATTCTCTTCATCATTTTCACCAAAGAAAACTTTCAACCTTTAGAGTTCACAGGTCATGATGAACCCCAGAAGTTCACAAGTTTACGCACATAAACTCGATAAACGATTTATTTTTATCGAAGATCCATTTTGGAATCATGAAGCTCACCTTTTGGTGTGTATTAATTGTTGATTAATAACATCCATCCATTGTTTCCCTTTGCGATTCATCAATCATCCAATTGTTTCGATTGCTTAAATGTTCAAATCGCGACTCTGACCAAGCATAACCTTAATCTTGCCTGTGATCAACCAAGAAGAAGTAAAATATTCCTCTATTTGCTTTCGAGTTTCTTATTGATTCCAAGAAGAAGGTAAAGATAAAGAAATGTTTCTCATCTTTTCTTTACCTTTCTTCTTTACCTTTTCTTTATCCTTTTTGCCAGGCAAAAGTTGAACGTGAAAACAACACATTTTCACTTCTCATTTAATAGTCAACCATTTATGAGTTTTATTTACCTTCCAATTGCCAATGCATTATATATTAAATAGTCCACAGATAAGGTAATTCCTTGATATTGTTTCATATTGTTCATGATGCTATTCATGATACTTTTGCTGTTGATATATAATGGTCAGATAAGATCAATTTTTATGGATCATTTGAGTTCAACTTTTCTCTCCGTTTTTCCTTCCTTCTTCCCAATCTTTTATCCAAACAAAAACTTGTTAAATAATGAAACTTTCAATCGATTTCAGTTGTTGCCGTTTCAAAAGTCAAAATTCAAACAAAAGGTGAACCTTGACAAGCCAACCGATTACTTAATTGTCACACAATTTCAAACTTCTTTACTCGGATTCACTTGTTATCTGACTTGTAATTAACTGAACTTTCATCTGACAACATTTTGACAAACCATTAGGAAAGGAAAAGCCAGATGTTTGGAAAAATGAAAAGTTGATCAATAATTTGGATTTTTCATTTTCCTTCATTTTTTTGTTCAATCGCCAAGACAGATTTCAATGGAAAACCATTTTTCATGATACACTCGATTGCTGTTGTTCCATCAAATTGAGTCAACATGATAGTGTAATAGGATAACAAGTTTATCATTTTCTACTGAATAGCATGAGGTTAACCAGTGTAAGAAGATTATCGTTTTTTACTTTCTCTTGCTTTGCCGATATTCAATGAACAATTGATTGAATCATTTTCATTTTCGAACAACTATTATCTCTACAAATGTTGATGGTTATTAAATGAATCAAAATCATCTGTTCATATTAAACTTACATTTGCGATTAGAAAGAATAAAAATTTCGATTTAGTAAGGAAAGAACATTATTGATGTTATTAATGGATGATAAACATGAGATAATTCAGAAGTTCCAATGTTGCTTTATGACCAAATGAGAGTTTAATTTTTGATAATTCAATAAAGTTACTATTCAATTGAGTTTTATAGCATTTCAATGCAGTTAAAGTGGCAGTTTTAGTAGCAATTGTTTTCATTTACAATAATTTTTAATTCAATTTCAATTTATTCGTTTATTGATTTTGTTGAAATTTTTATAGTTTTTATTTGAATTCTTGGTTACTAAAAATTTTAATCGTTTTCGTTCATTGAATGTTGTCTTTATTTCATTGCATTATTGGGTAAATTTTGGATTCTTTTTGGTATTAAATTGGGTTTTCATTGACTTGTGGACTTTTGGCAAGTTTCATTGAGTAATTTCAGGTAAAGTTAGTTTTGGTGATTATTGTTTTGAGATTTTTTGAGAAACTTTGTGTGCTTTTGTTGAACTTTGGCTGATTGGGTTTTAGTTACTATTAGTTTGGTTAATGAAGATTTGCTGGCGGAATCAGACAGGCTGCTGTTGATATTGCCGTGAAGGATGAGAAGACTATTAAGCATAATCTGTCCATGACCATGGCTGCGAATTTCCATTCACCGATAATTTCTTCAATTTCATCTTCTTTTCTCATTCGATTGGTAATGAATCGTATCTCTCTGAGAATGGCATTGATCTCGCGACCTTTGCAAATGAATGAACAACAAGGTTGACTTTGTGAATAGTCAACTTGATGATGGCCGGGGGACTCATTGAGCAACGATGTGGTCCCTTCAGTATCACCAAGACCCAAACCTAGGCTAGTCCCACCTCTGGCTCCATCATTCAAGTCCTCGGCTTCAAGTGAACCTGGCTCTAGATTAAGTTGATCACAAGGTAAACCATTATAACCGGGACAACTGGCAGCTCCACTTGGGTCAAACAGTGTCGTCCCATACTTGAGTTGATTACTTTTTAAACTTAAATTATTACTATTAACATTATTACTATTATTATTATTAACAATATTATTAACATTGGTAGGATTATTGGTTGGCATTGGCACATTGGCCATGTTGGCTGATGCAAGTTGCTGATGAGCAGTGCAGCACAAGCAAAGTGAGGTACGATTGCCTATCAAGTTAGTCAAGTGATCATCAAGACCAGTTGAGAGACCCTCATGACAACCCAAGTGAAGGGCCCCTTCGCTTGCCGCTGACTGAATGGTATTCCAATGTTGCTTATTAGGAGTCGTGTGATTGGATGCATGGTGATGCAGCAGGTGATGATGATGATTATGATGATTATGCTGGAAGTTATTAAGACGACCAATTGGATCACAGTAACCTTTTAAATTTGAGCTTATTGTATAACTAAGGTCACCAGGTCTGCATGTGTGAGCATTGGAATGGCTTGATTGTTGACCTTTGTTCAATGGCATACTCAGATTATTGGTTGGACACGAAGTGGAAAGTTCAACATTAACGTTTGTCCCACTTTTGGTTTTACTGGTTGATGGAGGTGGCTTAGGAATGCCAGGCTTTTCCATCCTTAAAATCCATGGAAGCCAGACCAAAATAACCCGACGAACCTGGCGAAAAGGAAAGAAAAAACAAAAGATTGATTAACAATTTGCTCGTCAGTGTCAACCTTTCAATCAACAAACCGGTTGCAAAACATGACAATAATAATAATTTCAGGCAATAACAACAATTATTGTTGGAAAAAGGTGAAAGTGATAAAATAAAGCGTCAACAGTTTTTCTGGCCGATAAAACTTTTCCAACATTTCCTATCACATTAATTGTATTAATTTTTACTTCTTAACTTTCTATTTGCTCATACATGGTTCACTGTTGGGAATTGTAATTAATATGGAACCATTTGATATTGTCATATCTCTTATAATACTTACCAAGGGAGGCATCTCTTGATATTCTGATGTTGCTCTATGATGAAAATTGAGGACAACAACAGTCATTACAACGGAAAATGCAACCATAATCATGATACAAGCAAAATAAGTTCCTGTAATGATGAGAGTAAAAATTGTTAATAAACGTAAAAAGAGATATTTTGGTTATTATTTCATCAAGAAAAGGTCGAGGAATGGGAAAAACACATTTGACTTGGAATTTTGTTGAAGCAACAAATTGAAATGTCAAGAGATTTGCCTTTTTTGTCAAATTGCAGCTTGCTTTCATCAAAGGGTTGCATTAGTTTGGAAACCTGGAAATGCTGCTATAAAGTTCAATAGCAAATGAACAATATGAAAATCTGCTCAAATTATTCAAAGCCTTTTTTGGTTTTAACTTTTTCTGTTATGATAAGTGTAAAATTTTTATTCACTCTTTTTTTGCTTGAAATAAATATTCACTTTTTGTATTTCTGGGATGAAACGATATTCAATAATATTTTGAAAAGTAAGAAATGAAAATTGAATTTAAATACTTGAAAACTTGTCGTCAACATCAAGATAAGATGATGTCAATTTTGAGTTACAAGAGTAAAGGTTAATTCAGTTCTTTAGAGAAATGTAGAAGTGCTTTACTCACAGATAACGAGGTAGTCATGCGATTGAAATAATGTTAAGTCTTGCAAGTTTGACACTTATTGATGCTTCAGTCGCATTTTGTTTCGATATCCATGAATGGAGAAAAAATCAAACTGTAATCGATAGTTAATACGAACACTTTATCGTTTGTTTTAATAATTTCAATAACAAAATCTGGTCTCTTCTGATTTCCGTTTCGATATTTCAAACAATTTTTAAAACTGAAAAGCAAATTTATCCAAAAGCTTTACTTTTCCGGGTGAAACACTTCCAGAGTCAAGAGTTGTACATTTGACCAGAAAATTGGTTTTATTTATTATATTAATAGTGAAGTTTTTAACTGCCTTGTTTTAATCTTTCAGTCGGACTTGACTTTAATCGATTTGAAATGAGTAATTGAATTGCATTGCATTTATCCATAATATTTACACGTATTTCACGACTTTATTGGTCGTCATTCTATTCTTACATATTGAATAGTGAATGCTGTTACAGAGCAAAATTTGGTATTTTGTTTGAACTCTATTCACCGATAAAATTGCACTCTATTGTTACAAGGTGTGAATTCACTATTGGCCACTGGCCACTAACCGAAGTGTGAAGATGTAAATTGTTTAGCTTTCCTCATTTTACATAATTTTGCTTTACACTTCAATTCCATTGCATGCCTTTCGGCTCAATTTATTTCCAAAACTGAATTGTATTTGCTTCCAAATTTACTTTCAATTTTCAAAGTTCCGTTCCGTACACCATTCTGATGCAACTGATAATTATTATTAGTTATTCATAATAATTGCCTTCATGTAATTAGTCGATAGAAATGAAAGTTTTCATCGAATTTGCATTTAAAAACTTCATATTTAGGGAAATGTCAAGAGAATGCTGTTTATTGTACAGTTTCTCAAAAAACTTACCGTTTTTATCGCTTAAAGGTTAGATAAAGTTCAGGGATTTGCAGTGAGAAGAACTTTTCTCTCAATCCAAACAAAATGTCATTTTCCTGACAATTTCAAATCTAATTTTACACCAATTTCACAACTTTGAGTTGAGCATCTATTCCTAGCTGAAAAGTGTTGACAATTATTTTTGTTTCCCAGCAAAAGAGCCTCATGCAAATTCAATAGAAGCTCACTTTTAGATAATAAACTGAAAAATGTCTTATTCTTGGTTATCTTATTCTCACAATTGGTAAACATGGCTTCATCCCAAACCAGCATATCCATAACCTTTAACAACAAATAATGGTAATAATTTTTGTTGTAATAATACTTTTATCATGAAACAGCCTCAAGGAATACTACAGTATTGCTGTATTATTGTCATCTCAATCCTTCAATCTTTTGTTCCCAACTTTTACAAGTAACAATGGTAATTAGTTTTGAAAGCTTTTGAGCAAAGTTAATGCCAAAAATGAATGCCAATTTACCAGCCTTTGTAAACAATACTTGATCATTGAAAACGCATTTTGCTCAGTTCGTGTTTTCCCTGTAAAAATGCAGTTGTCAAGAAGTCGCCTTCAAGGGACAAATTGTGAATCTCATTGACAAACCGTTTATTCATTTAAAGCATCTGCTTCCTTCCTCAGCATTCAAAGTGAAAAGTTAATGTTGACTGAAAGCAACTTGACAAGTCGAATGTGTGTTTGAATCGACTTTACTTACCTATGATTGAGATTGATTCTGAAGTTGGTGGCAGTGTTTCACTTAGCTGAAGCATGAACACGGTCATTGAGAGTAAAATGGTTACACCAAGAGTCAACTTTTCCCCTGAATCGGGTGGAAGGGCGAACCCGAGAAGAGTCATTGAGGATATAAGAACACAAGGAACGATTAGGTTAAAAGTATAATACAAAGTTCGTCGACGAATGTGAATGGTAAATGTTATATCGACATAAGTTTCAGGGCAACAAGCATATTGAAGGACTCTTCTTCGTGCTGGAACACCTAAATGTGCGAAAAGGAAAAAAAGTTTAAGAATTTTCAGTTGATTAGGAATCCATCAACTTGCATGATCAATATTTTGCCAAAAAGGATCAAATGATGCAAAGTAAATGAGATTTGCTTCAGTTTTACGTTTAATTATTCATATTCCCTGAATCCAGTTCTTTATTGGAAGAACAACGAAAAAGGAAATTATGTTTTCTTCATCTTTTTAAATGTTGATGAGTTTTATTGTTTAACCATCATGAACCGACATCGAATTTTAAAGTTTACTTTCAATCCAAATTTCGTTTCCTTTTTATTCAAACTTCGAGCTTTAATCAGTTCAAGAGGTTATTCAAATTTTTAATTAAGATTGTTCAGATTATCAGAAGAGTTTTGAAAAGTGTTTTTTCAATGAATTTTTGTTTCTATTCTAATGTTGTCATTTTTTTCTCGAAAGTTTTGACATCTTCAGTTCGATTAAAGTACTTGAACATTCAATGTTTCATGTTTATTGGAATCGTTTGCATGGAATAAAATATTTCCAAATTGAGAATTAAAAAGTTCCAGATTCATGGAAATGTTTTAAATGTTTAAATGATTGAAACTAAGCATATTTACATTCATCTTAAGCACTAAAAGTGACAAATTTTTCATTTTTCATCCACAAAAGTCAGAAAAGTCATTTTCTTTCGATATTCAAAATCGAAATGGAAAAACGAAAAAGTGAATTTCATTGAAATGGACAGTTTTACAGATCATTAATATTGTTTTATTGAATGTAAAACGAATGACCAATTTTTTTCTCCCCATTTTTGCATCATTTGCAATTCCAAGTCTCAACATTGAAAACAAAAGTAAACTTGAAATGCTAATTCAAGCAGAAAACATAAATAGAGCAAAAAGTAAAATTGAATGCAAATCTCATTTTCCATGATCACTGAACTCTTCTTTACCTATCAATATCCATTCACCAGAAGGTATATAAGTTGATATTTCACCACCTTCTTCATTAGACAATCTCAAGTCCAAGGCAAGTCCATCATATGTCCAGGAACCAAATTTTAATAAACATTTTTGATCATCAAAAGGAAACTGAAAAAAAGTAAAAAGAATTAAATTTCCATTGAAATGCTTATGAATTTCAACAGCATATTTAAATTGCTTGGTGAACAGTTTGACTGACAATTTGATTATCGATGAAACTCACCCATGTTATATCTACTTTGCATGTACTTTTGAAGATGCCTGGAGGAACCCACAAACAGCTTCCATTGCTCTCAACGACCACATTTGTATGCAATGATGAATCAATTTTATCATCGGCACTTGAAGAAGAAAAATTGAACAAAAAACATTTCGATGAAAACGAACATTTAAATACTTTTTTGGTGAAATATAAATATATTCAAAAGTTCCAAATGGAATTTCGAAAAATAATTTCCTCAATTTGCAAATCTAAATTGTCCAGAGTTTTGAGTTTCATTTAACCTGAATTCAGTCTATATTCAGACAAATTGATTAAGAAATTACTTGATGAATATATTTGGTGAATTGACTTGTAGGTTGAAGGTTGCTCATTAGACTAAGATCTACAAGTTTTAATAGATTGAATGAAATCTCTCATGAAGGATGAAGCTTTCCTTCAGAGATTCGTCTTGAATAAAGGCTTATCTCTTAATGAGCAAATACTTTGCACACTTGTTCGACAGCTTTATAAGAGTTAAAAAGAGGCGAAAAAATTAATTAAAGAGAAAAGGTGAAGACAAAAATTCCATTCAACTCGTGTAATCCAACTTTACTCATTCACCATTTCCTCGAATTCCCTTTTCGAAATGTGATATTCAAAGATCAACTTACAATAAATGTAGATAAACATTCAAACATCAACATTTACATGATTCTTTCGATTCTTAAATTTCTTCATCAACTAAAAGCATTTCCATCTTGACCCTTACCTATTGTATAAAAGCACATCAGGTGTCCAAACTTTACTGGCCGATATTCGGATATTTTTAACTCCAGGATATTCACTTGTATTCCAGCGTAAATTAGTGTCAATCCATTCCTTGGAAAAATTCAAAAAAGAAAATGTAAAAAATCGAATTTCGAAAAAATTTCAAAAATTGAAAATCTTTAGCAACTCACCATGTTCAGCCAAATGCTAGACTGTAAAATTTGATTCTTTTCATCCTGCATGTTGACCAGAAAAAGAAGAATAAATTAGTCGATGAATTTTATGAATCGAAGGTTCATTAATATCATGATAATGCCAAGAGTCAAAGGTGAAGAGGAGAAAAGATGAAGTTTCTTGTCAATAGCTGTTGAACATTTTTTTCTGGTCCAACATCAAAAATGATCATCTTCATTATTCAGCTTGTGTGGGATGATATCACAAGTTTTTACTTATAACATTTACAAACCTTAACCCTGTAACCACTCAATCAAATTAATCCATTGGAATCGAGTTTGTTCATCTCTTCTCCTGAGTAACAACTTGATATCAACAAACAAGCTTTACCAGTCAATTGAAACTCTCTTCCTCATCTTCATCCTTCTTCTTCTTTCTTCTTCCTTGGAAAAACATTTCTTTTCTCATTCCCAGATTGATATTTAATGGAAAGACTTATTCAATAGATGATGATAATGACAACAAGAATACTCATGATGATAAAATCTTTATCATGTTGATTCATCATTATGATTACTTACATTACTGTTTATTTAAATCGCATAAGAATCACAAATGAATATACTTTTATCATTAACCATTATCACTGTTTCAATGTTTACAGAAAATGCCAATTTCCAATTCAAAATGCATTCTCATGATCGACAAAATTCTGAACCTTTTATTCCAAACTTATTTCAACTCAATTGTTTGAACATTTTTTTACCAATTTCACCGTCAACTTACCAAATCAATTATTTGTTGTAATGTTAAATGAAAGCTCACAAGAATTGGCTCGGATTCATTGATAACTGGTCTTTCAAGTGGATTATATTCATACAGTAAATTGGATAGTAAACGTCTTTCATGTGGACCACCATGGCACTCTGTAAATGGATTAGAAGAAAAAGATTTTTGGTTATTTTCAGAATTTTGTGACCGAATGAAACGTTGAAACTCGATTCTGTTTTTCCTTCTTCTTCTTCTTCTTCTTCTTGCATTCATCAGGATTATTGAAGAGCGTGAAATGAACCTTTAACATTTACTTTGATATGCTTGAATCAACATTCAAACTCTTTGATTGCGATAAATCAACAATTATTTTTATTTTCTTGGTTTTTTTTTCAAACCAGAAAAGGTTTGCCATTGTTGTGTAAATGGTTTGTTATTATACGGCCAAATGTTTACATGAAAATTGTTTTCCTTTTCCATATTAATCTTACTGAATACCCATGAAAATAACCAAACCAGAGATAAACTTGGTTATCCTAGTTGATTTACCCAATTATCAAAAGACTTTGATAATCTCATTTGTCAAGTTTAAGTGTCAACTTTACCTTTGATGATAATTTGACAATTAAATCTGTCAATAACAACCACTGTGTAAAGCTTGCTTTCATTCAACTGATATAATTGATTGTCATGAGTTTATCCGAATCAAAAGAAATAGTTTGGACGCCTTGCAAGGTTGGAAATGTTCAACAAGTCAACATTTCAGGAAATGTCTCAAATCTTTACTTCATAACTCAAAAAGCTTTTCGACCAACTCTTGTCCAAACCATTTCAAATGTCAACTCATCATTTTTGCTCTAAAATATAAACAAAGGAGCAAAAAGAGTTTCTAAAAAATGCAACCAAAATCACACATTTCAGTCTTCTTGAGGTAAGTATCGCAGGTGAGTCGAGTTGTTCTGATCGATAAATTGGCTGAACGTTAACGATGTGTTCAAAGATTAGTTATTGGTTGGACATGATTAATGATCTTAACTTTCCTCCCTGTTGTCTATTTATAGTGATACAACGTATTGATGATGAAAATGAGACAAAATTAAATGCTTGTTAACTTCATTGAGCCATTGAAAATTTTCATGTTTGAGGTTTATATCTTTACCAATGTATCAAAGTACAGATCACCAGACTATCGGCATTTATATTTATTTTTGATAAAATATTTTAGACTCATTTGTGACGACTCATTTAGCTGCATGATAGGCTTGCAATAAACTCTTTTCCCTATTGCTATCCATACCAAAATCTTCGAGCTAAATTTTCAATATCTTCGAGTTTGATTGAATTCGGAAAATTATCTGAACATCTGAACACCGGAACAAGATAAGCTTTCATGAAAACTGTTAATGGCTCCTTAATTTCAGTTAGACAAGATAATTCATCAGAAAATTTGAACAAAAATTAAATGAAAACAAAGAAAAGAGTAAGAGTTCCATAAGATAATAGATGTTTGCTGATCGCAATCTCAATTGTCCATCAATTAATAATGCATTTTACTTTGATTGACACAAGTAGACTAAACAAGAATAGCGCCTTTCCTATTGATTAACTATTCATCTAAAAGTGTTGTCACTGTTAAGTGAATATATTAATTGGAAATAGCTGTGAAAGTGATGAAACAAAAATGGTAAAGAAGAGACTAAAGAAGAAGCAAAAGTTTATTCAACTTGTTCAGGTTAACTTTAATTATCGCCTAAAATTTTGATCATTTATCAACACATTAGCTCTACTATGGTTATCTAATTATTATTATTACCATAATCATCATTATCACCATCAAAATATTACTATTATCATTATCATATCAACACATTATGAATATAAAAGTTTGCCTTTTGTTAGACTTTTCATGCTCCCAATTATGTCAAGCATTTTGAGTAAACTTAATACTCTAATGAATCTAATGAGACTGTCAACTTTTATTAATAAAAAAGGCAACGAAAAATGAATCAACAGAAAGCGAAGCTTCAGGAAAAGTTAATCAATGTTGCACCAGTTTCTTGTTTTTCATTAAATCGCAAATTGTAAAACTTTGTATCAATTAAAATGATATCAAATTAAACTCGCCGAAAACTCACAATAAACTTGGCAAAAGTTGAAGCCAATAATTGCAAGTTTAATTAATTCAATCAAATGATAATCTTTGCTCCTTCCTTCACTCTGCATGTTCATTGTTAACGTTTCATCGATTCAGTAGATTGAGTTAGTTTTTTTAATTAAACCATGTTACTGTTTATCCATTAGAAACTCGAAGGCAAAACTTGAGAAACGATTGTTTCGGAGGAAATTTGAATTTTTCAGAACATTTTTCTTGTTTATTTTTTCACTTGAAAAGGTTCAATTGTTTGGGTAGTTTCATGATTATCAATTTGCTCAATTTCTTGGCATTTTCAAATTCATATTAATATCCAGATTAAGTTTTGTTTTTTTCTCATCAAATTGTCAACACTTTATTTACTGTGAGTACAAGGATAAATGAAACTTGCCAAGCATACATTAAACTAATGATGAGACAACTGATTTGTGACATTACAATGAATCAATTATTTTATGCTTAGGTTGCCTTCAAAATGATAAACGGTAAAACAATGAGAACAATTTGGCTGTTCAAGGAAGCTTGAAACTTCTGAAGACAATTTTTGATTAAACTTTGCTCAAGAAAACAAACTGAATAATTAATTTTAAGAAAAGAATAAATTGACAAATTTTCTTCACTCTTGCAATATTGCAATACAGGATATTTCAGCTAATTCGTGTTTCTTTTTTTTGTCAATCCTCTCTGGGGTGGGACTAAGAGTACTGATATTCATCAGATAATCATTTACAATATCTCAATACCAAATCGAACTAGGCAAGTGTTCAAGACACTCCATAGTAAGTTTGGTAAACATGTTATTCAGGGCTGAAAACCCTGAAAAATGAATCAAAGTTCGAAAAAAATTTGGGAAAACTTTGCATTTTTTGCAAGAAAACGGGTTTTGACCTCAATTTTCTCGTGACCCGAAAGTTTTCTAAAGCCGAAAAACCCTATCGCTAGTTTTTTATGCTCTATCGAATGAACATAGTCTCGACCGGAAATCGCTGAGACACCTGAGATACTTCCCTTGTAAGTAAGATACTCATTTTATTTATCAATACATCATTAAATGATATCCATGCATCTTTTACTTACAGTTACGACGATTTTTATTGAATCTATTATTGTAATTCAAAACAAAAAGTTTGTAATGACCCAGAAAGATCTGTGCGATTTCGGATTCTCGAAATAAACACAAAAAAAGTTGTTACAATATATCGGCTGATCAAAATACGTACGCGTATTCGGAACGCAAACATGAAAAAATGTGATTTTGAAAATTGTTGCTGTGACAATGTATATGAAGTAAAGGAAGCTGAAAAACTTTTTGGCCATATTTTGGAACGCAATTTTCTGCTCGTATGTGATGGCTGTCAAAGAGGATACCATGACTGGGCTACATTTCAGAAACACTTCGTAGACGGCTGTTTCATTTGCAGGGAAAGGCTGGTAGTCAAACCTAATGCGACACGCTAGTTACTTCATTTTAGTATGCAATGTAAAGTTATGTATACAGTTTATCCTTAATAAACTATCATTGCATATCAAATTGTCGATGATTGTAATAATTGATACTAGCTTGACAGTACTGTCAAGGTACCGTATCTGATATGGGGTTTGGTAAGTGAATAAATCCAAAATACATAAAGAAAAGATGTATAAAGTTTTTGATTGGGCTAGCAAATTGGTAGTGCAACATGCGTCTGTTGTTTTCTGGAAGCACCTCAAGGAACGTGCAATGCTTTGGACAGTGGCTTCAACATGGAAGCGAACAACCCTGTTCTCAGAAGGAGCAGGAGAAGAAACAGCTCTGATCGCAGCTATTGGCGTTTTGATCACATTAACCGCCTTATCAATTGTGTTGACAAAAAGGCGGGTGATGGGTTTATAAAAAAATTCGATGCTGGTCGCAACGATTTACTAATATCTTTAGTTCCCTATGGAAAAGATATCACTGTTGCGGTTATTTATTGTCATTGCACTAAAAAATTATCTGGTGAGGTATCTTTATTTCTTGCATATTTATATGCTACTTTGACTAGATTGAAGGACGGTGGACCTGATGCCCGAGGTACTATCTATGAACCAGTTGACGCAATGATTTTGGCAGGAGATCTAAACATCCAAAATGCGTACTACAGGAGAGGAGAGAAGACAAAGCAAACAATGCAATTATGTCATTAATGCATTCTATTAAATTGTGGATTGACGCCTCTAGAATTCACGGATACCGAACGTAAGCATAAAATTGATTACGTTTGTGTATCGGAGGAATTTGAATTGTCGAAAAGAGTTTCTCCACCAACGCCAACATATGAGCGATCAGATCACCTACCGATATCGGCGATTTATAATAAAGAGCTAACTCTGAAAGATAAAACTATTAAAGGTAAAATATCTTTTTTAGATCAGAAAAAAGCAGAGAGTGAGCTTGCTGTGAAGAGTCTAGTAACAACAACTTGCGAAAACCATTGGAAAGCATCTTAAAAATTCTTCTCTACAACTTTGCTGGTCTTTCAAATGTAAAAATTGTTGACAGTACTTGGACAGTACCGTCATCGTACTGCTATGGGATGGGGTTTGATAAACACGAAGTGTTCATATTCAAAGTAAAATTTGCTTATAAATTAGAATAAATTGACTCAAATAACATTTTTATAAGTATAAAAAACAACATCAAAAATATTTTCATTAAACTTAATAATTTTATCATTGCTCAATTTCAATTTCAATTATTCCACGTCTAGAATCGCACCATTTTCCATTACTTGTCGGTGAGTCATTTTTACGTCGCAACGCACATGAGATTAGCTAGCAACAAAAAATTCAATTTTAGTCAAAAGAATATTCCTTCTATCAGAAAAAGAATAATTTCTGAATTGCAACAAGTAAGTTTTTTGATCGATAAACTGTTGACAAGAAGCTAATTTTTATACTTATATATACATGTAGCATATTGAGGCAAGTAAACACGGAGATGCAAATCAAAAATCAGAAGTAAGCCTTATTTGATCTGCATTG